GGTACTTCTGGCCAAACATGGCACGAGATGCAGAAGAATTCTCTAGAAGATGCGATAAATGCTAGAGGTTCGGGTCATTGATACATCAACCACCTGAAGACCTGTACGTAATGGCCACCTCATGGCCTTTCGCGCAGTGGGGGATGGATGTGGTTGGCCCTTTGCTGACTGCAAGATCGCAGAATAAGTACGTTCTGTTAGTAACTGATTACTTCACCAAATGGGTAGAAGCAGAGCTGTACCTTAGTGTCACCCAAACGTAAGTAAGACGCTTCATCTGGATTAATATTATCTGTCGTTTTGGCGTACCAAGGTCAATCGTGATGGACAATGGGACCAACCTCGATAGCAAGCAAGTGAAAGAGCTGCTGGAAGAATATGGAATCAACCAGAAGTTAGCAGCAGTCAGTCATCCCCAGGCTAATGGTCAAGCTGAAATCATAAACAGGATAATATTTGCTTGCATTAAGAAAAAGTTAGAAAATGAAAAAGGAAAATGGTTAGATGAGCTTCCGAACGTCTTGTGAGCTTACAGAACAACCCCAAGACGGCCGACCGGAGAGAGCCCATTCGCTATGGCATACGGCACCGAGGCGGTGATACCAGTTGAGCATTTGGTTCTAACTGTAAGGAGCTTGGCGTGTGATCAAGAACAAAATGATAGAATGCTAAGGTTTAACCTCGATTTGCTGGAGGAAAAAAGGGATACGGCTGCAATAAGGCTTGCCTCTTATCATCAGACGCTTGTGAATAGCCATAACAAGAAGGTAAGGCACAGAGACTTCGCTCTTGGCGTTCTGGTTCTGAAAAGGAAGGTGGGGATAGGCAAAAAGATGTTCTCCCCATGGGAAGGTCCATACAGAATAGCAGAGGTCATAGAGAAGGGGGCGTACGTCCTAGAAACTATGGCAGGAAGGATGGTCAATAAGCCATAGAATGCTACGTCCCTGAAAAGGTACTACCAGTAAAAGTAAAGTTTAATTTCAAACAATATGCGCGCTTTAAATTGCATACTTGCAAGTGTACGAAATTCCCAAGCTTTATAAGAAGTCTTTTCTTTGCTCAAGAATTAATTGACATCCTTCCCATTCAGCAAAGTTAGTGGCAGCTGGCAATTTAAGCCGAACGCCAAATACTTGCTCAAAAACAAAAATAAAGCCAAGTGGCAAGTGGCGTTTAAGCCGAGTGTCAGGCATTCAGCAAAGTTAGTGGTAGCTGGCAATTTAAGTCGAACGCCAAATACTTGCTCAAAAACAAAAATAAAGCTAAGTGGCAAGTGGCGTTCAAGCCGAGCGCCAGACATTCAGCAAAGTTAGTGGCAGCTAGCACTTTAAGCCGAACGCCAAACACTTGCTCAAAAACAAAAATAAAGCCAAGTGGCAAGTGGCGTTCACGCCGAGCGCTAGACATTTAGCAAAGTTAGTGGCAGCTGGCACTTTAAGCCGAACACCAAACACTTGCTCAGTGGCAGTTAGCACTTCGAGCCGAACGCCAAACACTTGCTTAAAAATAAAAATAAAGCCAAGTGGCAATAGGCGTTCAAGCCGAGCGCCTGGCAGTCAACAAAGATAGTGGAAGCTGGCACTGCGAGCCGAACGCCGAACACTTACTCAAAATAAAGTAAAGCCGCTCAAAATAAAATAAAGCCAGAATGGTGACAAAGCCGAACACCAAACACTTGTGAAAATACACAGCAAAGCTGAAAATGGAAAACTTGAAGGATGGAAGTCATGCTGAGCAAAAGCATTGTCATTCATTACAAAAAGGTCCTAAGGTACATAGCTTGATACATGAAGATATTAAAAATAAAAAAAAATAAAAAAAAAACTGCTACAGGACGTCAGTTCTGATGATCTTTTCCAGGCTGTGACCTGTCGTTCTCCCCACCATCATCCTCTGGACCATTGAGGTCTTTTCCATTCTCAGCTGCCCTATCATCCTTATTCAGGGGATGAAAGGGTGAAGCGAGCAAGGAGAACTTTCATACCCCCTTCGACTTTGCCAATCATGTTCAGCAAGGAAGACCGTTCGTTTAAGAGTTTCTCCTGTGAGTTCGCATGAGACAACCATTCAGCAATGAATGAGCGCTGAAGGTCTCCCTTCTCAGCTTTGAGAGAGTCCCTTTTTGTCAGAGCAACACTCTTCTCAGTTTTCAAGACATCAACCTCATCCTGAAGAGAATCCCGTTCGGTCTTCAGGGTATCCCATTCAACTCTGAGGGAATCCCTCTCCTTTGCCAGACCCTCCTTCTCTGCCTTTAAGTCAGCAACCCCCTTCTCTGACTCGCTCAGCTTAGACTCCAGCTAAGCAACTTTGGCCTTAAGGAGATTCTCTGCTTCAACAGACCTTTTAAGGCCCATAGAGAGGGATTTAAGCTTTTTGTTCAGAGTTTCAATGGTTTTTTGGAAAGTGAACATCCCGAATAGAGTCTGCATGAAGGAAGGGAAATTCAGGTCAGACTAACTACTAAAGAGTTATAGCAGAAAAGAAACGCATTTCAATAAAAAAAAGAGTCACCTCCATAGCAGCAGCTGGGAACCGCTGGAACATCTCACCAAAGGATAGCTTGTTCTGAATCTCAAGGTCCTTGGGGGTCCAGAAACCCTTGTAGAAAGCAAAAGAGGTGAGGGGGTCCTTATATATTGAGTCAGTGGGGCCAATGGTCGATCCATCTTCACAGCTGAGCAAAGGTCGCCATGGAAGAACGGATGGAGTCGGACCAGAGGTTCTGGCCGATTCGCCTTCTGGAATGAAGAACCAGGCAGGGGGCAATGGTTCAGTAACCCTGAAGGAAGCCATCCTGATCCTCCGGGCTGGTGGGATATCACTCCAGTCATGACCGCCCTCAAGCATTGGCCTTTTTCCTAAACTTTTTTCTGACAGACCAGCATTAGCTGGCCCTCCATTGTCTTGAGAATTTTCAGCATCCTGAGTGCTCTCTGAGGAAGTATCAGACGAGATGTTGGAAGGCATAATGATGGGAGCAGCAGGACGGATCTCAGCAGTATGGTCCACAATAGGGTTCTCAGCATGAGTGAGCTCAGAAGGCTCAACAGCAGAACGATTTGTGACTCGAGTCACAGTTAGAACAATCACAACTTGCTCTGGGGCAGAGACAGCAAGGGAAGACGATGTGGAAGCAGGTGTAGATGATGATGTGGAAGCAGGTGTAGATGATGATGTGGGAGCAGAACGCCTCCTCCTGCTGAAAGATGGGATCTGAATGTTCTCCATTGTGGACCCTAAAAGAGAGATGTCAGAGAGATTGTCAGATGTAAGCAAATCAGTAGCTGAAGGGACATTGTTCAGCACTCTTTCTTGCAAGATGTCTAGCCTAGCCCTGCAGACGCTATAAACCAATTCATCATGGGGAATTTGAAGGCATCTACAAAGAAAAGTGCAAAAACGGGGAAGACAACTTTCACAGTGGCATTCAGTAGGATGTGTTTTCAGCTTTTTGTAGCCAGAGACAGAGCATGTTCCAAAGGAATAAGGGATAGAGAAGGATTGGCCGAGTGGAGTCTGCCAATTCCCACTAACCACAATTAAGTTTCGTTTCCAACCTTTTTCAAATGAGTTCTTATCAGTGCAGATCGACCGTTTGTCAATAGGGAAGAAGTGATAGTACAAATCATTTTGTGAAATCTTATTAATCAGATAGCAGAGGAGAAGGTTAATAATGTCAAGATTGAGACCCCTGTCACGATTCAAGGACTGAAATTACCCTATGAAAGTTAGGGTTAACTTGCAGGGGGCAGAGCCCCAATTTGTTGAAAGCATAACAAAAGAATGGGTGTAGGGGGAACCTAATGACGTTCAAGTGAACGGCGGAGAATAAAACTTCCCCAGGAAGGAGACCCTCACCAGATCTCCTGTCTAAGTTTATTGGATAGACTCTGAGAGAAACATCGTGAGGAATGCAATTCTTGGATCGAATGGCGTTCAGATTAGGGGGAGCCATAGAGAAGGGGAGGAGTCCTGGGCAGTAAATGTGTCTTTTTTAAAGAGAGATTTAAAAAAAAAAAACTGACCTTGAAAGTTTGTGATGAACGCAGCAACGGCACAGTAGCTAAAAATCGAAAAAGGATCGCCGAAATGTGCAGGAAGGCAGCGGAGAGTAGAAGCGAGATATAAGAAGAAGGGTGAAGGTTGAAAGAACGGAATTTTTAAAGAGGAGAAGTAAAGGCGACATGGAACTCAAAAGGTCAAGGCAAAAAGTGGCGCTGCAGATCTCGAAGCTTGGGTTTTTGTGCCAGCCGTTCGATTCCTCGTGTCATTGCTCCGAGCCGTCAGACCAAGATCGTGTCTTTTCAATAATCTCACCCTCATTAATGAGGGGAGAGATTATTGGGGCAGATGAGGACACCAAAATGACTCGGGTTTGGTATGATCCGTATTGCAAAGGACGGGTCGGGTATGGATAGACAGGATGGAGCAAGTTCACACTGGATGGGCCCAGATCCATAAAGTTATTGCAGAAGCCCATATTAAAATGAGAGAAGTTGAGTCCAGGCAAAAGGGAGCAGATAAGGCCCAGGCCAGAGGAGGTTGTAACCGTCTATAAATAAGGGAAATGGAGGGGGAAAAAGGGGTTTAGAAAGATTGGGAGTGAAAAATTTCTCTCTGTGTAATTGGGGGAAATTCTTTGTACTTTCACATATATATAGGACAAACAAATAATTTTAATGATAAAGTATAAAAGTAGTTGGATATATAGGAAAGTAGTAGCTTTAGTTTGGAACTCAGGTGCTGTAATGTTCACTTGTAGTGATCCATTGTTTGTGCTATGAAAGTCAATTTTCAATTTCCTGCTTGATTGGTATTTACATATTTGCAACTGGAATGAAGGTGTTCGTGAATTTCTCAGTTGATAATTTGCTTCATATGGTGCTTACTGAGTGCTTTTCACCCCTAGTATTTATGGTTCAAAATGGATAAAATTCCTTCCTTCAAACAACATGTTAATTGCATGGTTTGCTCGTGCCTTTTTCGTATTTCAGATCAGAAACACAAGAAATGTCAACCGGACTGGGAAGTTAACTGGTTACAAGCTAGTACCCGGATCAAATTGTTTACCATTAGCTGGTGCCGAGGCAAAATTTTTGAGGAGAGCTGCTTTTCTGAAGCATAATCTTTGGGTCACACCTTATGCACGTGATGAGCTGTATCCTGGAGGAGAGTTTCCTAATCAAAATCCACGTGTTGGAGAGGGATTGCCTACTTGGGTTAAGCAGAACCGATCATTGGAAGAAACCGACGTAGTTCTTTGGTCAGTCTATTCTTTCCTGTACATAATAAACCTATGGTACTTTTTCCTATGTTTGCACCATTTTTGGTCATTATTATCTCTTAATAACAACTGGCTTCATTAAATACATTCAGCTACCAAGAAAAACATTAGAATGTATTTTAGTTCCTAGGTGATAAAATCATGTCTTCCATCTTTAAAGTGATGTAATAATAGAACTCCACACCCATGACAATTGCTGCTAGTTACCAACAGGCTAGTGGCCAAGCGGTATCAAACTCCTACTTCTCAAAGAGAGGTTAGGAGTTCGAGTCTCAGTGGAGGCATGTGTGTGTGAGTACCAACTAGGAAAAAAAATAAAATAAAATAAAAATTGCTGCTAGTTCATCAATTCCTTACAAGTTGGAACAAGAAGCAATACATTTTTACCTCTACATGTAGCGCACACAATTTTATTTTTTTGTAAAAAATTAACTAAAAGAAATAAATAAAAGATCAAAAAATGAAACAAGAAAGGAAGCTTTTATGTTACTGAGTTGTACAAAATTATAGGGTTCATATGAAGTAAATTTTCTATGAATTCTAATTTTGTTGTCAAATGATTACAGGTATGTATTTGGAGTGACACACATTCCTCGACTGGAAGACTGGCCTGTCATGCCAGTGAAACGCCTTGGTTTCATGCTCATGGTATTCCACTATCATCATTTTAACATAAATTCTTGGGCATACTTGATCATTTTCTTCATGATTGGTCGCATCTTTCATCATTATAATACTTATTATATAGCACTTATGGACAACCTAACGAGCATCAACTATTTAGACCTGACAGTCCCATGTTGATCCCTGACTTGATCCCTATTAATGGATTCTGGGAGAGGAGACTGCATATAGGCCTTTACATTTGAAATTATTATATGCATGAAGTTGTTGTCTTCAAACTTCAATTTACTTTCTTTTCTCACACTTGGCAGTCTTTTAACTTCTACGGCTCTACACCATACCAAACTGTCCTCAACATCTATGCTAATGCAGATAGTATTTAAAGTAACTGAAAAGAATCAGTGAGTCCTGTTTTACTTTTTCTGTTTGTGGTGCAGCCGCATGGATTTTTTAATTGCTCACCAGCCGTGGACGTCCCTCCGAGCTCATGTGACTCCGATATGAAGGAGAATGAAGTGGCGACAAAATCAATCCAGAATGGGCTGCTTGCAAAGCTTTAGAATTAAGTGCAGGTTTCAGTCAGGCCATGGCCGTGTCTCACTGAGCTATTGTGTTGTAGCTTTAAAAGAAATTCTGGTCTTGAATTTGTGGTTGTGTTTTAGAAAGTTCAAATAGTCAATCCACTATGTCAGTTCAAGCACACTACTACTTGGAACAATGTATTGCAATGACTGTTTTGTAACAATAATTTGATGGGTCTATTGGTAATTTGGACTCTTTAATTCGATGGCCGTGTAATTTCTCATCAATTTCATTTGCCTTTACTTCTGATTCTAATTAAGCAACCATTTTTGGTCTAATTATTTACGGAGTAACAGTGAATTTCTAATGAAATTGAGAATACCTGCAAGTACTACATTATTTGTTGCCAACTTGCCATCAAGTACATAGTACATTTTTAGCGGATATTATGGGAAATTGAGAATAAATAAATAATTATTACAGTGGCCTATGAAAATTCCTGGGTTCGGATCGATATAAAACATAATGAGCGGAAACACAAAATTTAATAAAGATGTTTGAATTCTGGAACACAATTCAATCTCAAAAAAATAAAGAATAAAAAAAAATATAAAGTTTGAGGAAAAATTGCGAAGCACATGTGCCCTTCAGACTCCAATAATTGAAACAAAAGTAAAAGACTTGGTATAAAATGACAACATGACCCACTACATGCCAAGTACCACTTGCAGATTTGTTAGAGACGTGTAGTAACATAATTGCCTCTCAAAAGGTTCCGATCCCAAGAGAGCTTTGTTTACAGTCCAAAAGGAACCTAGATTAGTTGAACATACCCATGTCATTCTTTTTTTAAATGCTTTGTTTGATCATCCACATTCCAACTCATAAACAAATGGGGTTTTCCAAACCTTTTTTTGGATAGACATTCTATCCACCAATCAAATTTAAACTATAGTCTAAGCATATATATATATATATAGTATGAGTGACTTTGTTACAAAAATGGTCTAAAAAGTGGGGCTTGAAAGCATATGACATGGTTCCAATCACCTCACATAGGATTCTAATCATCCCTCCAACCATATGTGTTTTGTCATGTTTAGCCATTACTCATCACAATAGGCATTACAAAGAAAGAACCTTCCCACCATTATAAGGTGTACCATGTGTGAGTGGAGAGTCATTGTGTGTGGGACACAAAAAAAGGCTGAATAGGGGGATAATGACAGAGCATAAAGAGTACAAAGGAGAGAGGGGGCTTGACTATTGAGGTTTATGAGGGGGATGTGTCATCAGTCAATCTGCTTCGAATCATCCGTGCACCATCTCATCTCATCTCATCTCATGCCATGGATATCATTTTTAACCCATTTACTCTCTTTAATTTCCTACTTTTTCCTATTCAACTACATTCCGCTTGCATGTATGTGATGTAAGATAGACAAAGTAAAAGTAGAAATTAAAAGCCCACGTATCATAACACTTGCTTAGGTCAAATAAGGTTCTTTTTTATATACTATTCTCTAATATATATATATATATATGTATATAGTGAGAATGTTTTGGAAGTAAGAAAAATATATACTTTTCTGTCAAAAAAAAAAAAAAAAATAGTTTTATGCATAGTTCCTGAAATATTACATTCACATTTGGAGACAGTTCTCCAAATATAACACACTCTTTGGATAACACTCTTCTGGACGGAGAGAATATATTTCATTTTTTGCCATTTAAAAAAAGAAAAAAAAAAGAAAAAAAAAAAAAAAACTGAAACAAGTCCGTAATCTTGCCTCAATGAAGCTAGAGAGATGTTAAAAGAAAATCAACAAACCAATTAAGCTAAATTGCTATTTTATTTAATGATTCATAAAAGCCATGTACATAAATTTCTGGCTAACTACAAAGAGCTAGTCTAAAAGGAGATGCTGCTGATACACAACAGAAAGAGAGAAGGGGGGAGACCTAGAGAGAGAGATCTAGAGAGAGAGAGAGGGACTGCCAACAGTATGGATCAGGCCCTCTCAACATGCCGTAAGATGAACACCGTTTCTAGGTCTGGTGGAGTAAAGAACTCCTTCACCCCAGTACTGTAATGACACCTCGAGGAAGGTTTTCGCTTCCTGGGCGCCGGCGGACACGGCAGTCTGGCCGGAATCCTGGATTCTACGGCCGTCGGTGTGGTGGAACACTCTTCGTCTTCCTTAACGTCCCGTTCTCTGTCCACTACTGGCTTCGTAAAAATTGGCTTCAATGGAGTCCGTAATGGAATTCCAGCTATAACCCATTTCTTTCCACCCTCTGAATGATCTACACAACCATCCATCTGAGACTTTTCTGGAAACCCCATATTAAATTAGATGATCAGACTGTTTTTAATGAAGTTATATATAAAAATGGAAGGAAGAAAGGAAAAAGGAAAAATAAAAGATGGGTTTTGTAAAGAAATGAGAATAAAGACGTAGAATCTAAAGAAACCAGTAGGAAAATGTTGGGAGTGAGAGTGAGAAAAGGTTGAAGGGAAGTGAAAAGGGTGTTTGTTTGTGGGAATGAAACCTCTTTTAAGAAGCTTGGAGGCGAGGAGACATCAGACGCCGTGACAAAGTAATAAAAGGACTTTAAATGAAGGAAAGAAGTGTAATCTTCAATTTTAATACATGCTCTCCTTTCTTTCGTTATACTGCAGTACCACCGAGTGTGTGTGTGTGTGTGTGTGTGTGTGTGAGAGAGAGAGAGAGAGAGAGAGAGAGAAAGAACCCGAGGAAGGGGTGACCTAAGCAAATGAGCTTAATAAAGAAAGAATGGGTACAGTACATAACAAGATAGATAGGATGCCCGTGAAATCTGCTGACCGCGGGCAGAGTGAAGAAGGAAAAGGATTGACTTGGATTTTGGCGCCAATGGTTTTTAGCTTTCTTTTCAGCCGTCAAAGCATATATTTTAATTTCCATTTTTGCCCTCCTTGACTTGAGCACCAAGTGCAATCTTGGAGACAGTGGATAATTTAAATGTTAGGTTAATTACATCCACACCTTTTAAGAATTGCCGCAACCAGATCAGATGAAAGATAACTATGTTTTTTTTAACAATAACACCCGATTTTGCATCCAAACAAAATCTAAAAAGGAGTAAAATATCGGCATTACCCTTTAATATTTTATTCATTTTTAATCTAAAATATCAGAATCATTAAATTACCGAAATGCCCCTTTTTTAGGAAAAATAAAACTTAACTCACCTACCAACTTTCTCTCTCTAACATCAGTATCCTCCAACCCACCATCGCCCCAACCGCCACCGCCCCAAGCTCCACCCACAACCACCACCTCCAACACCGCTCACCCGGTTCTTTATTTTTCTCTTTCTCCACTCACTACGGGGTGGAAACCCAGTTGCGGATTCTCAACTGTCGGATCCCAATTTCTCCTTGGTTAACATTACGTCGTTTCTCACTGCCGATTTCACTCCATCCGATCCAGAAGAGCCCAACAAGGGTAACAACCCAGTTCTGTGTGTGTCTATATATATATATATATTTATTCACAAGAAGGAGCTTAGAGGATTTGCGGCGGCGAGAGGTGATGCACAAGAGGAGTAAGGACGGTTGTTTGCTTAGATCCGACGAATATTCCGATCACCACCCATAGTCTTGTCTGAGCTCGAAGATTGATTTTGGCTTGGAGAGTTCACTGTTCACAAACGCTGCATCATCATGCTCGCCGAATCCGTGGAATCCATCGAACATATTTTCTTATTCCCAATCGATCAAGACTCTCAAAATCCGGCCTGCCGACAATTGGGTTTTCATGGCCATCTTCATCCCTCACTCTCCGGAGTTGACTAACCATCACCGCCCCTGGGTATATATAGAAGTAGGGGATGATATATATAGTACACGTATATAATATATATCTCATAGGTAGTTCGGAAAATTAAAATTAGTGAGAAGGTTAAATTGGTAATTTTAACATTATAATGGTTCAATTGACTTGGTCATTTTATCAGAGTGTTGCCTCCGTCAAACTCGGAAAATTTGAAGGGATGTTATTGTTTAAAAATAATAGTTATCTTTCATCAATTGTTAGTAGGACAAATTTCAGGAAGTGTGAATGTAATTAATTTTTAAATGTCAGATACTTTTAGGTTATTTGTTTCCAATCTAATTTAAAATATTCAAAAACTCTTTAAAAATATATATAGGTGATGAAAATATTTAAAAATTGCAAAATACTACTCACCTATATATTTTCGTCAACAAAATTCACACGTGACTATTTTAATCTCACATATACTTAAGATATTTTTGTCAAAATAATCAATCTATATGTGGTGTGTTACACAAGTATTGCATATACTACTTTAATACTAAAATTTCAAATTTCAATTAATGGAGGAAGGTATTTTGTGACTTTTTATAAATTGAGAGTGTTTTTAATAAAATTAATTAATACTAATAGTAGAGAGAAGTATTTTTGTAACTTTTTTATAATACAGATTGGTTTAGTGTAATATGTCTAAACTCTTCAAAGAAAAGTTAACTCATAATAGTATTTATATTATTTTCAAGATTATTGATAGACTGGTGTTAAAAATGTTTAGAAAGTGTTGAAGAATTGTCCAGAATGTGTCAGTTAAGTATCCAAAACAATAAAATTAATTTTTACTTATGCATACATATACGAAATGTTGGACACATATTCAATGAGTGTTCAAGAAATATCGGTTTCCGGCATGAATATGACACTGATAGGATTCCTGCATAGAAATGTCATGCCTTTTAGCAAATAGGACAATGTTATAGAACAATATTATACCAATTTGTAAACTTTGAATACAACTCACAGACTGTGTGGTAGTTAGTACTAGAGCCTTTTTGAGTATTGAGTTATGACACAATAAAACCATATTTTAAAAGGTTTGTCGGGTCTATTTCATTACTCATTAAAAATAAATTATTATTATTATAATTCGTTGTATTATTTGATACGCGATCTTTTTTCAAGTCTGATAAGTAATTCGTATTAGTTAATTAATACTAATTTTGTTCGAATCTATTACATCACAAAACTACTAACTATAATTATTAATTCCTTCGTTCCATAAAAGGTGTCGTTTTTGGAGAACTGTGAAACTCACAAATTGATCTGACAATTTCTTAAAAGCGACACTTCTTTTTTTGAATAGTATATTGTTCCGGACTACATAAAACCAGGGCCAAGAAGAAGCTACGGGACAGTTCACAAGAATCAGAGGCGTTATTGGTTGTTTGACTTAATCTTCTACCTCCAGAGCCTCGGTAAAGGTCATCAACACTCACCACCTTTACATCACTGGCCCAATTAAATAAAGAAAAAATTGCAATTTTAATGGTTAGAGCAAAAAAACGGGTTGCTCCATAATGAACGCTTCTGGATTTCTCTGAGATCCTACTACCATCACATCTATTGGGTCAAAGTACTGGACAGGCACGAGAGCCAAGTCAGATCACCTTTAAAACAAACAATATTTACTTTTTTTCTTTTTTTCTTTTTTTTAATTATCATTTTCATCTTTGATTTTCATTTCATTTTATTTTATTTATTGGTTTCCTTGTGGAAAAAGAGACTGGGAGAGAATCAATCAATATAATTATTCTGAACCACACCATTTTGAGGTTTTTTTTTTATTTTTTTTATTTTTTAAATTATCATTTTCATCTTTGATTTTCATTTTATTTTATTTTATTTTATTTATTGGTTTCCTTGTGGAAAAAAAGACTGGGAGAGAATCAATCAATGTAATTATTCTGAACCACACCATTTTGAGGTGGGACTAACTAATTAATATTTTCATACCTGCAATTACCTAACCTAATCCTTTTCATATCTAAATAGGGTTCAAATATAAGGACTTTTGTACTACATTAATTGAAGATTGTGTTCAGTCCTCGTAATTCTCCTCTCTTTTTCTTTATTTTTTAATCAAAATACTTGACAGAAAATCCCCACATTTTATTGGACCAAAATTTGAAGTGTACAAATTTTGTTTTAAAAATTCTAAGCATAATATTTGTAATTTACCTAATTCACGTTTGACATGTCAAAACATTGACGGACAACAAATTGTTATATTTGAGTTCAAAGAGTGAATTTGCAAATCTCTTGCAATATATTATCTTTCCAAGTTCAAACACATTACTATAAAACATCAAAGCCCCCGATTGAAAGTACACTTCTGCAATAGCAATATTGATGGAGGCAATATGACCTCCACTGGTCATACCATCATATATACATATATATATATATATATATATATATATATATATAGATAGACATTTTTTATTATGCATAAACAAAGATCAGAGAATTTGAAGGTTGTTTCTTAGATGCTGCATTTATCAATAAAATAGTCTAAGAGAGAGGAGTTTGTGCCTTTTCAACATATAATATGCTCACATTCACAAGAACCCACAATATTCTGTCTGTCACTAAAGACAGTACAATGTACAAGCTACACTTAAAATCAAAACAGAAGTTGGCGAATTTTTTTTTTTTTTAAGGATTTCACACTCCACTTGATTTTTTTTAGTATAAGAAATGACTTATTTACCCTTTAAAAGTAGATATTGATGGTGCAATTTTTTTATTTTTTATTTTTATTTTTTTGTCAAAAAAAAAGTAAAATGTTTAAGAACAAAAATAGCGTGTGAAAATCATTTCCCATAATTAAAAATTTGTAAGCAGTAATGTGATAACATAAGAAGGAAAAAGAAGTGCAGGTACGATTGATTGTCAATAAGAAACTGGAAAACCAAATGTATGGGGGAGAGAGAGAATGTCAGAGCATACATACATTACACAGCATGCACTTGGTTAAGAGGATTATACAGATAATGCAATTAAAGCATCCCTCACATTCTGGAATAGCCTCTGTAGTCTTCATATTGCTCCATAAACTCATCATTGAACTCCTTGAAACTCGCCATGATTGCCGGCATGTCTTCCTCCGCCGGTAAAATGGTAGTCCTCAAGTGGAAGACCCTGTACAGAAAGGGAAACCCATTAGGTATTGAAGCTGTAATCGAACTAAAACATAGAAACTACACTTTCCCACCACAAAAGATTAGGCATGCGTTACCGTTCAGAAACACACAGTTTGGTACTTGTAACTATTGAGCAGAGAAGACAAGTTTATGTATGACTTCCATATTATGAAAAAAGAGTAACAAAAAATTAACTATAGCGTCTATTGAGGTTGAAGCACTGTGAGAAACTCAACAAGAAAATGGTATCTCAAATCTTGAACAGAAACAGATCAGTATTTACCCTTCTTTTTGTCCAAATCCTGAACCTGGCACTGTGGAAATGCCCGTGGCTTCCAATAGTTTCAGACAATAGAAAACATCGGGAACTTTTCCAGCTCTTTTTGCAGTTTCTATCGCTCTTGGTGGCAAGCGTATTTGAGGGAAAGAATACATGGCGCCTGAAATCATTTCTCAAATATGAGAATAAATTTCATAAAATGCAAAAAACAAAATAATTCATTTAAGATGGTTTACCTTCAGTGAAATTGCAAACCACATTTCTACAACTATTGAATCCATCAGTCATTATTTGTGCTCTCTTCCTCAGTGACTCCAGAATACCTTTGCTGCATTCATGAGTAACAGAAAATCATTATTCACTACTCAAAAAGAACCATCTCAGGCTACTAACTACAATTCAGCACCCTAAAGTTCAAATTATTTAACAAAAGTAAGTTCCCAACCTTACAACAGAAAAAGAAAAAGGCCAAAAAACAACTCTTAAATAAATGAGCACGCATTCTATAGATTTGTTTTTTCAAAAAGATCCATGTCTTTTTGTTTGTCTTGTTCAGTTTCTCGGTTTGCAATTGTCTTTCTTACACCAAAAAAACAAAAATTGGCCAAACTTTTCTAATTTATTAGGATCTCTTTAAAATTGGTAGCATAAAATGTATTTACATAGAAAAATCATGGAAAAACACATTCAGGAAACATAAAGGTTTCTTCGATGATGAACAACTTTTATGAGGTTGTTAACTGCGGACGTACCTCTCTCTAACAAACCTCTCATATGAGATATCTCCAGGTTTAGGTGGATTGACCATTAGTCCCATCTGTATAAAACAACAGAATAAGTACTTCTCACACTCTGATATAACTGGAACTATCCAACAAACAAAATATTTCAACATATAATACTCAACAGCTAATGACGTAATGATAACACGTTTAAATACTCATCTAATTCTGAACAATCTGATTTCAACTTACAAATATCTGTCCGGGGACGTTTGGACTGAGCGATACTGATGCAACCTTATAGATTTCATCAACAGTCTGCAACATCAAACGTGGAAAAAAATCTGTTAATGTGTGTGTTTTGTTCAAATTGAAAAGCTCTATGAAAATACATCCATATTCCCATGGAATGAAGATAAATAGTATTTCATTGTTTGTCTACATAAATAGCATGAAACAGCTTTCAGTTTTCACACTGCGACTGAGAAACCTGAATTGTTTCATCACATCACGTCATCTTAATATAAACATATTTTTTTATAAAAAAAGTCATACTATGATCTACAATTTACATAAAATTTCCATTTCAAGCGTAATTCTATGTTGCATTAAACTGAAGATCTTACTTGAGTTGATAACCTGAAGAACACCAGTTAATTATCATGAAGTACTTTGAAAAAATTGGAAATTATGAATACGAGCCTTTCGCACAATTGAAGGGGGACATGAAAGAGCATTAAACAGATTGCAAGAAGGCAAACCTTAGGAGGGATGTTAGTCATCTCAAAATATCCGCCTCGCTGTCCACATTCACCCCAGTATCCTTTGGACACAGTGTGAAAAGAAACAAGCTGGACCTCCTTGCTAATGGGTGGGCCCATGTCCATTAAAACCTTCAGTGTTGGACAAAAATAGAATATCAGGTTATGTTAAGCTTCAGAAGGAAATTCAGGGACACTTCTAATTTAACAGCATGAGAATATATACCTTTCTAGAGCTAAGAAAGGGACGCTCATCCTGGTAAATGTTCTGCTGATAAACTTCATCCCCAAGCAAGACTAAGTTTTCTTGGAAACAGAATTGTAAAATTTCTTTCAAATTAGCTTCACTAAGACACTGTCCAGTAGGGTTTCCAGGGTTTATAATCACCATTGCTCGTACCTACTCATACATGATATGTAAAAGTTCTGGTGGAATTAAAAAACTAACAGAAACAACAGTCCAGATTCAGTAATAAACGCATATAAAAAAAACCAAGATATAACAAAATACAACTCAAGTAAACAAATTCTAGATTTTATAGCTTTACAAGATAAATGTACGAAAATTTGTGGGTACAATGATAAATTGTGCCATGGAATCAAACAAGAAAACATATTTTCTCTAGGATCCAATGATAAGTAAGAGGCAACGAAAGCCACCTTTTCACAGACACAGTTAAGTCAAACTAAGGCTGCTACCTTCTATTCATCCATTCATCTAGTTTCTTAGATTGATCATAATTCCATGTTAGATTTTCATGTTTTTCATCATACAAGAAAAAGCGATGGCATACATACAGTTATTCCTCTAGAGCGAGCATTTGCAACTGACTGACGGAGGTTCTTAATATCAAGACCCCAATTTGCCGTCTCTTCAAGGTAATATGGAACAAGAGAACCACCAAACAAAGCTATTGCAGCTGAGTAAAGCGGATATTGTGGAACTGGAACCAAAACCTGGCAACCCATAAGTTGGAGGCAGCATTAGGAAGACAATATACCAAAGTAACCCAATCACATGGAGTGGGGATGTGGGGACGAGGATCGGGATTAAAAAAAATAAAATAAAATAAAATAAAGAAGAAGAAAAAGAAAAAAGGAAGACATATCATTTTGTCCCAAATTCCTTTCAGGAAGATTAATTACCCCATCCCCTTCACCGCGGATAATAGTGTTCAAGATCTGCATTACTCCTTTGCTGGCACCATCCGTGAGAAATATAAGCTCTGGATCACTGTCATTGGTGCAAAAAGCAATAAATTCATCCACTCAATCACCAAAGTTCAAATACTCCATTGTTAATAAGAAGTCAGACTTTTATAACGCAAAATCAAGATTTATCACCTAGGATACCCGTCGCGCCTCCCAATGAACTCAGCCACTTCCTCCCTTATTGCAGGAAGGCCTCGTGAGTCACTATAAGCACCTAATTGAATATCAAGAAGAATGTTATTTCGTATGTAGTTCACTTCCAACCAACTTCTCACTTCTAACCAAATGTAAGGGAAAAGTAAATAACTTTTATCAGCTGTGCTAAATGGAGGAAAATGCCTGGAGCAAAGAATTGCGTGCTCCAGCTAAGTGAAGCTACAATAAGGATATTGGCAAGGACAAGTGTAAGAAGTAGAAGAGATATATGAAAACAGAACATCTACAGAAGGGCAAGAGTAACGCTGATTATTGACAAGATAAGGAAATAGTGTCCACAGAGATGGCACGATGATGTTAGTTGGTGATTAAAAGATAAAAGTGTAAAAGGAGGAAAGAAAGCCATAGAGAGCAAAGACTTAATGCAGAGCTTAAAGAGGGAAACGAAAGAAAGAAGGAGATGATGATGATAATTTTGATGAAAGAGAAGAATTTCAACTAATCACGATGCTAAGTGGACTTTTGTTGCTAATCTCGAAATGTATTATTCAACTCCTCCAACCAAAACACAATAAGAGGAGTAGAAGGTAACAAAAATGAAAGTAATACAAAAAGCATGTATGAAAACAGAAAGAAAGAGAGTTAAAATTATAAGGAGAAGGTTAAATCTTTAAAGCTAGTATTGCATAAATTCATAGCCAATTGTTTTTTGGAACAAAAAAAGTGAAACAACTTTTTGGAGAAGATACCTAGACCACCCGAAGTTATTGAAATATAATGTTTAGCTCTTGCAATCGCATCTGCAGGGAACATGAGTCCTACATTAGGATCATCTAGAAGAAATGGAGCTTGGCATAGAGCAACCACCTGCAATACAGTATTTTTTTGGTTTAAGAGAAGCAATATAGATAAGCATTACATGAACAATGACAAATTTGACTTAATAATATGATAAAATATTCCATCAAAAGAGGAACCGTAGACTTAGAAATATTGCAAATTTGACAAACCTGGCGAGGGAAAGTTAGTGGCTTCTGTCCTAGGGCATGAGGGTTGCCAACGTTTGTGAAAATGATCTGCACATTATAAATGGATTAGTGCAATGTATGAACATACAGCAAAGAGGAATAGCATGCAATATGGAGAATATGTTGAATTAATCAATATACTTAAAAAGGAGTATAAATTTACCCATGCCCTTTAGAAATTCTACAAGGACAAAAATACCACAAATGGAAACGACTGGTTTAGTGCCAAATTATGACGAGATTACAAGATCCACAAGATATTACCAATTTACCATAGACACAGCGACATAGCACTAATTTGGGTGGTATATTTTTTTTTTCTTCTTTTTTCTTTTTGTTGCAATTCTTGGTCGCTATATTAAAATTATATGGAAATGCATGTCAAGTTTATTTTAGACTCTAATTTGGAAGTGCATGAAATGGTCTAAGAAAAAATTGTGCATGAGGCCTAATGCAGATATTTTATTATGACTCGAAGTGAGAAATTAAAGCCGGTGTATACATTTCATCTTAGAAGAGAAGTCAGTAGTCACTCACCCATGATGTGCCATAATTTTTCTTGGGATGCCTTGGTTCTTTACAAACTTACAAGCATATAGAAAAAAAAATAAAAAATTTGAAGGAGAGTATCATGACAAAGAATCATATCCTAACAAAGTAAAAGCTAGTTTTGCCTAGATAATATCATGACAATGAATCACATTCTAACCAAGTAAAAGCTAGTTTTGCCTAGATACACTTTGGGTATTGGACAACTCACTAAAAAGCAACCAAGACCATTTCATGAACTTTCATGGGATAATGAAAAGTAAATAACCTCAGATATATAACTGTCAAGTTTTGCCAAGGCATGAAATTCAAATAAATAAGGTCTAAAGCAGTTCCTAGAGGGGAAAAATAGAACAAAAATTATAGCAAGAAGCTCCGCTGCTACAAATCCTTGAGAAGCTATTAAGATTGTGTTCGCTACATAAGAGAAGAAAAAATGGAACATAAAAACCGGTGGTCCTGACCCAGGAAAAATACAGACGTCACACATGTCAGATATACACCAGTAAACAAAAAAAAAAAACATGTACCTTCTTCCCTTCCTTCTGAAGCTCAGAAGCTCGAAGGTACAACTCGCCTCTGACAGCATATTGAACCTTCTTAACATTTTCATTCAATGTCTCGTAGTCAAGAGCCTTAGGTGACATGATGGGATTGATACTGTCCAACCGATACCACCAAATGCTGTATGAGTGGCAGGAGGCAAAACTTCAACCTACACTCAGTTCACAACCTGAGAATTTTCCCACAGATCAGATAAAATCACTAAAAGGTGAAGATAGAAAATATCAAAAGCATAACAAAATCAGAGTAACTGTTGCATAATCATTTGGATTCATATTGAAGTACAGAATGTTATAGCCCTACAAGGTTACATCACAAAATCATTTAACTGAAATTGAAATATGAATTTGCCTAATCTATTATTCTATAATCCAACTTTTAAAATCCCATATCTTACAACGGCTTATATCATCAACCATAGTCGGACACGATTCGAACCATAATTTTTCAAAGAGAATGATTTTGATATGAACTATTGCGAGCTTATAATGTTAAGATGCCAGCATAAAAAAGTAATTATAATCACCGAAAGCTGATTGCTTAATTAGAATCAACTAGAATTAGATCCAACTAGAATTAGATCAAAACATAGTAAAAATAAATGATAATAGCAATACTTCTGCGGAATTGAAGAAATTTGTGAAAGCCAAAATAAAAGCAAACAAAAGAACATAACAACAGCAGATATCAATCAATGCATGCGACGCCAGAAACATCTAAATCCTAATTCCGACTCCGAACCCCAAACAGATAATTGTGACAAATATTAAGCAAGAAATTACCAAACAGAGTGCTCTTTTGCGATAATTCACTGAAACAATAAAAACCTATTTAACAACTAAACATCTATTGTACTAAAACCTTGAAAGAACCAACGAGGTAAATGATCGATTGTCTCCGCTCAGAGAATGATACTCAAAATGGAATCATTCTACAACCCATTTGAGATTTTACACAAATTCACAAGATCATAACAAGAACAGAAAATTTTCAAGACAAAAAATCTATGGCAAATGGTACAAAGACATTAACACCATTTAGCAGCTTCCAATTTCCCAAAAAAAAAAATAGAGTCTGATTGAGATGGGTAATCTACAATTGAAATGATACCTTTGAAGGTCGCCTAAAATTCCATGAGGAAGGTTTTGCTTTGGTGGTTCCGAATGCGAAGTGAATATAAGAGCTGGAAGATTTGTGTACGTATCTCACAAAACTAAAGAGCCTTTTTTGTCTTGGCAATTGAGGAATATTATAATATATGGCATTACATGAAAATTCAATGGCAACACCACAACCACTGAAAAGTAGTAGATGGATTATTGGACTTTACCCTATTAAGGGTTTGAGATAAAGCTCATGCAGGAAGTGTGGTGTAGCTTCAAGCTATGAGCTCTTGGAAGATAGTATTGAACTTTTGAGGCTCTCCTCTACCTTAGTTCCTTTCATAGGGTCACTATTATTTTTGTTGCTCTCTGGTCGCGAAGAGAGAGGGTAGTCAAGAAGAAGGGTAATGCGGTCATTTGAGTCATAATTAGCTCAAATTTTCTCTGATTATCACGAATAGGGCAGCCAAATGAAAAGGGTAATCTAGTCATTTATGCTATTATTAACACATTTGTCCATGGTTGTGACACGTGTCACGAAGACCGAAGGTCATACTCTTACTTTATTTGTAACTTTAAGAATAATTTTATGAAAAAAAAAAAAAAAATTATATAAAAAAACACATGCTTGACTTTGTTTTCTAAAAACTCAATTAGAAAATGGCTTGTTTTCACATAACTGTCTTTTATTATTTTTTAAAAATTATTTTCTATTCTTTGAATTCTTGAGAACTATTTTCTGAATTATAAACCAAAGAGACCCAAATCTCTAATCATTTTGTTAGTCATGAAGAGGGCTGCCAAAGCAAAAGGGTAATCCCATCATTTATGCCATAATCAACCCAATTACTAGTAATAATTTATCTTTCCTGGTCATGTAGGATAATAATCTACAAGAAAAAAGGTGGGCTGGGGGCTGAATCTAGACCACTTTTATTTTTTCTACCCATCTTTAACAAAATGTGGCCTGCATAGCTAAGCCAACATTTTCAAGCATGTAAATTTGGTTTACAAAATATATATATATATATATATGGAATAGTTTGATTGTGACTGCGTGTTTTAAATAGTACCAAATCCATATAAACTCTTTAATCTTCCTTAATATTATGTAAATCACTAGGGTTGATAGATATACACCTTATCTGCTAACAAGAGAGAACCCATTATTTAAAATTGAGTCTACGTATGTGAATTGTGGGGGAGAATTGACCTCCACCACATATTTATTAATTCTTTCATGTGAATAACTGAAAGAATTAATAAATATCATATTAAGTAATGCTTTTCATTATTCTTAGTAAAGCTTAGAATACTGTGAGTAGGATCGCAACTGAAAGGAACTGTGCTTCAACTCTTTTTTCTAGGTTCAAATTGGATTTGACTTGAGTTTGTATAACATCAAAAAAGATGAACTCGAGCCTGGGTTCAATTGTTCATGACCGGGTTCGACTCAACCGAGTCAACAGACTCAACATACATGATAGTGTGCAAAGTCGGAGAAAATTTCACTACTACAATCCCTCGTCCGCGTCTTCAATACACCTGATTTGACCCAGGTTCACACCTTTGAACCGTGAAGTCTTTGAGCATAAAAGGGTTATAATAGTCAACACAAGATACTGGTTTATTCTTTGTATTTGTTATACACACGCATCCACTGAAATAGAATCAACAGTAAAATTCCTAAAATTCCTAGGATTTTATTGATGCAAAAGCTCTAGAATTTACATATCAGGAGACATATACCATTTGCTACTATGTAATCAAAATTCTTCTGATGTAGGGGGTTACATTTATCACAGTGTTGTGTACAAGTAATGAAAAAAGAAAGAAAAAAATCGCAAACAGCTTAATTTCCAGAAAAAACTGCAAAGATCCTACTCCCCCTTTGTTTACCAATTCATGTAAATAAAAAAATTTACCCCTCTACAAAATGAAGGCACAAAAGGGAGCAAGCACCATCCAAAACCGAGAATGTTTTCACTTCACTTTGTGAGACATCTTTATGTAATTAAGGAGCCTTGTTAAGGCTTTACCACTGTCAATGGCCTCTCTCGCTCTATCCATGGCTGAGGATATATCTCGGGCACCATCACATCCCAGCAAGTGATCAACCATTCCAGCATTTAAGACTACTCGATCATAAGCTGGGCCTTTTTCGCCATGTAGAGCTGCTAACCCCAGCTCTATATTCCTTGAAACCTGATTTAAGGTATAATTTGAGAAAGAAACACATGGTGGATCAAAAACAAAGAAGCCTCCATCTTCTCGGGAGTAAACTGAACCAATCATATAACCAAAAAGAAAAATACGAGGGAAAAGTTTTCTAATTTATGTAGATCCTAAAACTAGATTAAAATTGTAAGAATCCAGTGTCTGCAACTCCATTTTTTTTTTCCTCTCTCCCATACCCAAGGAAATAATTATTTATAAATTTAAAAAAGAAAGAAAAAGAACTAGAATCTCAAAAAGATTTACTCAAAAGCAGATATTTAAAATGAATATGATTTTTAGTTCGGTGCTAGCATTTTATTATGGTCCGGATCGTAACTATGCCTAATGATTTGAAAGTTGTAACAAGTTACTCCGCAAAATACTCTCATTTGAACTTCAGAAATCATTTGATCATACAATTTGACAAATTCCTGACAAGATTCAGTTTCTGGAATTATCTAGTGGAATTTCAAACCAATTTTTTTGTTGCAAGTACATCTATTCAGTTGATAACCAATTTTGAAATAGTTGGCGATAACACAGCAGCAGAGGAATATTACTTTGAGCAGTTTGCTCCTGGGCATGCTGTGGGTTTCATATTTGCATCAAAAGCAAGCTAGGGGTTATTGGTAAGTTAAGCAAATATGAGAAAAGAAAACAATTTCCTTGTGGAATTAATTCCCTTACCGATCTATCAGTTCTTGGAGTATCAGTGGGTTCAAAGCCATAGTCCTTCGCATTAACCTCAAAGTTGAAACTTTCCCGTGACACACCTGCAACATAAAAAGTTAAGACATTTTAATTTTAATGCAATGATCCATGAAGCTCAGTCATCTGGTGTGATGCATCTAGTGGAAATAGGACCATAAGCTATATCTAGAGTAATTACAGAAACAGATCCCGATTCATAAACAGTTCAAAGGGGAATAAAGAAAAATAAGATCAGAAAAATTACAAACCATCTGCTTCACAAGCAGGCAATGCATTCAGTGAACGGAACCCTGAACAGTAATTCACAGGGAGTCCTTTTGATGCGCTTGTTGACCGCAATCTTGTCGTCATTGAAAGGGCACCTTCCTCACCCTACACTATCAGCACCAGTTAGATTATTATATATACATATATTTAAAAAGGAATTTCATGAAATGATATTCTGAATTCTAATCAACCATATTCTTCTCAGCAGAAAGGAATTATCAATCATGATATCTTGATACTGATCAGTAACAAAATGCTAGAAGTGAAGTACCTTTACCACCAAACCTGATTGAACACCTCTTCTTCTCATTAGCATTAACAGTGGTTCCTCGAAACCTTCATGATAAAATCCAGCAACAATTGCTTCCCTCCCGCTAGCCTATTTTTCATAATGTTTATGCAATGCAATTTTTGAGATGTAAAGAGATAGAGAATAAGGTTACAAATAAAGTTACAATGTTATACAGGAGTGTTCATAAGAATACAAAAATACAATGTACAAAGATGAATAAAATATGCCCTAAAGAGGGCTGACAGCTAAAAGAGGGAAAAGACAGCACTACCCTCAAAAATAAAATAATTCTCTAACATAAGTAATACTCTAACAACTATGAGTTAAGTTGGAGTGTTGATTGACTCTTAGGACAGCAATTAAAAAAGAACTTATACTCATCAAAGCTAGAAGGAGTCATGCACATTTACATTTGAACATATTTTGGTGGTAAACCAAATTATTTCTTTTGAAGTAGCTTTACTAATTGGATAATAAGTTTACAACAAAGAGCTGAGGAGCATCACTCCCCAATGGTATAACCTCCCTAAACTAGGAGGGGAGGGGTTCGAGCCCGGGTGTGGGCAAAAGTGTGTGTGAGTACTTACCTATCCCAATAAAAAAAATTTATAAAAATAAATAAAAATAAAAAAACCTGAGGAGCATCACTAGATTCACTAAATGTTGTTCTTATGTAGAGCTACATTTCTCTGCATCTGTTCATCAAGTTTCATTTGAATTAGTGTTTTTTCAAAAGTAGAAGGAAAAAGATGCTCAGAACACTAATTCAGAAACAATGCAACTTACCCTCACAAACTGCTGAACCTTCTCCGTTGTTGCCAGTGGTGGACGTTTCTTTATATGTTCCCTCAATCCAATTAATGAATATCTGGAAAACCCACAAAACTAGTGTTACCAGATTTATTAAATTCTAAATTCTGAGAAGTGCATATGACAGATTACACCCTGTGTGCATCACACAGGAGGAATAGCACTGGTGATGCTGATTTTGTATTCACGGCCAACTGTATCCTAAGACAAGGGGTAGAACAAGACATCTGCCTTTACAAAGGAGAAAAGGAGGGTAAATACTGATCCATTCTAAACTAAAGTTGAAGATGGAATCAAACATTGCCATCTTCAACCGAAGCAGACTCTAGGATAGAATACATATTGAGGATTATATACTATGGAACCCATCAAGAAAATAGATAAAAATAATAAATAAAATGTACTTTTTGTTGCAGGAAAGAAAGAAAGAAAGAAAGTAAAAAAGAAAAAGAATAAAAAGGAGATCATCTTTCCTTAATTCATATTTATTCAACTTGGGGTGGATTTGTGAAAAAAATGCTAATCCAAACCTCAATCAAATGGTTCAAAATGTTGAAGTTATCAAGTTAAACATAACAACATTCAGACTTCATAAATATAGGAATCCGCATCTGATAAGATCCTAGCTCCCATTTCAGAAGTCAAATATCAATTCTTTGAAACCAGTAAACATCAATATATATAAGCTTTTTTCAATATACAGCTATTGGTTAAATTATTGTTTCTGTAAATAATTCTATTCCTGAACTTCCCTGAGTTATTAAAGAAGCGCTTGAAGTAAAAAGATGTCTATACATATATGAAAAGAAAATACAAATGGTGGAAAGATAAATATCAGCTTAGATTTGCTTACAGAGATGGTTGAACTTCACGTTGACTTACATAAGCAAAACCAACTTCCTCATCCTGAAGTAACAGTTTGGAAAAGTCAAACACTACAAGAAAATAATTGAGAAGAAGTGTAACGATGGCACTAAAAAAGACAACTGGATAACCACAAAGACCTCAAGAAGTTTTTTCGCCTGCAATGGTGATAAGTGTGTATTTGCTCCCATGAACTTCAGCATTTGTTCTTCAGTTATTCCACCCTGAAAACAGAAGCCATTTCAATTTGTAAAACTCACAGGTATGATTGAAATTATTTTCTTTTTCAATGCCTCAAACACAACAAATAGGATTAGATAATATATAACGGTGCAGATATTTACAAGGATGTATTTTGCATACAAACAAATCTTCCTCTGGATGCAACAATTGCAAGGGTAGAAAGAAAATTAAGTTGATGCTTTCATAAGGCTGATGCCACTTTCAAAAGAAAATTTTCCTTTGGATGAACAAATGCATTACTGGCAATATCAGCATGCTGATTCAAAATAACATTTTGGGATAAACATTATAAGAAAATGATGCGCAGGTTACAATGGAAAAGTAAGCTGACTAATAACCTTTGGCGGCATCCATTCCACCCCATGAAGCAAGCAAGATTCACCATAACAGGACCTGACTGCAGCAACAAACAGAGTGCTCCTGAAGTAACGTGTGTTTCCATCATAAGGTTCACCATAATGAGTCAATGACTTGACATCAGCAACTGGTGGGGGACCTGATGATCAATAGATATATAAGTAGACTGGGGATAAAACAATCAACACTGATTTGAAATACTCAAACTATCAATTGATTAATGGATTGAGGTTATTACCAAGTTCATCATCAAATGCAAGGCAATAGGCTTTTAGTTCCCGGTCTGTTTCCCTGTTCATACGCTGGCCTATAAAAAATGCTGAAAGCAGAGACTCACTTAAATCATCTGATTGCATGTCCACCAATTTCACAGGGAGAACATCTCTTAAAACACCTTGAACCTCCTGATATCCAAGATGACCCCCTGCCAAAACTTCCCTAAGGGCACCTACCAATCTCATTTCAGTAGTGCCATTTCCAACAAATTGGGGCCCTATGGAACTTCCAACTCCCATTATTGAGCCTTCTGGGTCAGCTATGAAGATTATATCTGGGGGAAGGGCTCGAACTAAAAGTGGCCAATATGTGTTCATTGCAAGCCTTTCCCCTTCACTCCATTGGGTTGCTTCTGGAAAGGCATTTGCACGAATTGTCATGGCAGCAAAAAAAGCCCCAAGTTGCGCTTTTGAAACTGCTTCCTCATCTTTGAGTTCTCCTTTGGCTGACAGGAAACAAAATTTAGTTAAAAACAAAAAAAAACAGCCCTTGCTAACTAATTGCTGTCACGAGGTGACTGAATTTAATAAGCTACAGCTATATACGGAATCCTACATTTTTTTTTTCACTTTTCAGCGATCAGCAGTATCACAGTTAAAAATAATGATACAAGTTCAGGCAGCCAAGCATGTGACGTGAGCTCAACTTTGACTACAACCAATTCGTGCATAATAATGCCAAAAGTTAAATGTATATCTAGTCCACCCGTTTCATAATCCTGCGCTGGTGGGGTCCAATTTGCTTAATCACATTTTTAGCAGCATCAAATGTTCATCGATTGCAAAGAAGTAGATATATAAACAAAATAAAAATCTAAAAAACATTAAAAGGTTAATAAACTAGTTTGTGATCTAGATGGGATTCCACGATATGATTGGCATGCATAGAAATTACTTTGGTGCCAGCATGGTGGGTGAATTTAAGAAAGCCATACTTTTTCTATCTATACTTTCTATAAAGACCACACCTAAGGACATATGCAGAACCACATTGGAAGGTGACTTATCTAAAGTGATGAACTTATGGTACAATACTTAAGCACGACCGTCAGGTTTCCATAGTGCAGTAAGGCAGAAAGTAGAAAGAGTATCAAGTCAAAGAGTCTTTATTGGGTAGCATTTCATGTTTTATGTTTCCTACTTTGAAAATATACTTTATTACTTTGTGATTATTATTGTTTTCCTTCAAATTGATTTGCTTTTCAAAATTTTCTACAACAGTTACTTTTAGAAGTGCATACGAACGGGCTGTAGGTAACCAATACAATTTGACGTTTTGGAATTTCAGGGAATTAGTAACAACAAATATGACAAAACTTCCTTAAAGAAAATGGTATAAATATAACAACCATTTCAATAATAAAAGAAGCATTCAGAGGAAGATCTTTGAGTATAGCATTTGAAGTTTTCAAGATTGGGAATAAACTTCCTTTGAAATATTTGGTATACTTTTGGAATTCCATGTCATGATTCGGGAATTGTTCCTACTTCCTTGGACATTCGTCAATTATTAGGTGTATGATTTAAGCTATTTGGATCAACTTGCTAAAAATATAGAAAATTTCAGAGATTTTAATTTAATGAACAGATTAGCCCAATTAAGAAACTAACCCATTATTATAAACATCAGCGATTTTTAACCCGAATTTTGCATTCTATCCAAAATTGTTCTCATGAAATGAGTCAAACAGCGCACAAACCCATAATAAATAGACACACAAAAAATACATACATAATAAATATCTGAAGTAAGATGTAAAGAGCGAAGAAAAATGGAAAAAAGGAATAGAAGTAAAGGATGAACCTGATCTCAAAATTGTTTCAAAAACCTTAAAAGCCTGTTCTTCTGAGAGAGGCCTCGTCTGAGTAGGGCCAGTACAGACTCTAGCCTGAGCTTCTAACACCGTCTGATTAGGTTTCGTATAGTTGGAGCTCCGATAAGATGACGATATCGCCGGATTTCGAAAATCAGATTCCGGAAGCCCTAGCTGATCAATCGTCGCCGAATCCAAAACTGCTTTCACAGTCAACCGACCTTTTCGTCGAATCCAACGGCCTCCATCATTCGCAGAGAACTGAAGCGAGGCTCGGATCTTGGATGGCGTGAAGGCTCGAGGTTTGACGGTGATCGGAGAGAAGGCGGAGATCGTAGGGTCGGGATTGAGCAGAGCTTTCATACCTGGTTATTCGTCTGCGTTGGAGAGTGAACCAAAGAAATGAAAGCGTTAGTGCGAGCTCCTTTTCAGTCTTTAGCTTTTGTAATTAACAAGATTTGAATGATAATTTATCAAATCAACCAACAGAATATGCGGGAATTGGAACATCAATAAAGGGGAAACCATTTTTTAATAACCTGTAAAATTTGAATTGAAATATTCACTACGAGTTCGTATTACTATTAATATTATTTGTCTGAATTCGGAAGGGAAAAATAAAGTCGGACAAGATTATATATATATATATATATATATATAGTATACAGTATACACCCTCATAAAAGAGTCGTGAGCTTCACAACTCAAATGTATACCGATTTGAAATCAGACAAAAATTGATGGTGTGATGAACATGCAACTGTCAAACTGATCAAATTGAAGAAAACTGTTTTTCAATATTCAAATTACCAAACTGAAGTGCAATTGATTTATAGTAAATAATCAAAATTTAAAAAGTAAAAAGTGTTTTACGATGATCAATATATAGTAGCAATTTTCTAATTTTATAATCTAATTTTATAGTATTAAAAAGTCAAATTTTAATACTCTAGTCACGAACTCCCAGCGCCATCTGAACTTCTCGCCTGGAAGTTCAGTTTACCTTCCCATCTAATGTCAATCCAATGTATTTAGTCGTTGATGGGAAAACCAACTGAACAGTCCCATTGCATAATGGCGTTAAACACTAGACTATTAAAAACTTGTTAAGTTCATTAAATATGTATGTAGTGTTTGGGATTTTTTTGAAATTAAAATAGAACACAAATTTTAAATTAAATGTACTTCAATTTTAATTCCAACACACTGATTCAATATTTCAAACCAAAAGGCTTACTAATGAAAACTTTTAAATATACCTCACAAAATTAGGTGATGAATTTGAAGACAATTTCATTTTCTTTTGGGACTTCAGAAGGAAAACAGAAACTATGGCCATACTTGGAATGAATTTATGAAAACTGTTCTCAAGAACAGATCTCAAGAACAATTTTCAAAGAACAATTTTTAGTTTTTTCAGATTTCAAGCCTACTTAGTTAAGAAAATTTATAAAACAGTTTCCGAAAAACAAAAAGTTATAAAACTGCTTGGTTGTATGAGTTTTTGAAACTAATTTTCTGAACTAAGAAAATAAATAAAAATATTGTACATCACTCTTTTATTTCTTTAAATGAAGATATTAACTATTAATCTATATATATATATATATATATATATATATATATATATATATATATTAAATAAGTGTTGGATGTGAATTCATTTTAGCAAGTATACTTAATAAAAGTTGCACAAATACAATGTATCAAATTTAATTAAAATTTGACTAAATTGAAACACAATAAAAGAGTTACATTAATTATGTCATATGCACTTTTAGTTGTACAAACATTAATTTTAGTCATATATAACCAAAACAAAATATTAGAGAATTACACAAATAGGTAATCAAAGCAAAACATTGAAGAATTATTAAAAAAAAAAAAAAAAAAAAACTTCATCTAGCATTGCCTCTGAATGATGCCTACATTTGATTTGTCAGATAAGTTCTAAGGGCTCCCATTTGTGCTGCACCATCAAACAAGCAGCATTGTCATTCAATAATTCCTGAACATACTCATGACCTGTTAACCCCGAAGTTCTTTTTGATACCTTGGATTTAAAGGAATCTTCATACTCTTGCATCAAATTCAAATATATATAATCGACAAGGTCATCAAAATCTTCATCTGAATCACTAAACGATGAAGATGACGTGTCACTCCAATCTATGTCCATCTTAATTTTCCAAGAACCTAGACAAAACAAAGTTGATGTGCTATAATTAAACTAAAAAATTGAAGAACAATTTTTTTTAACTACCAAAACAGAAAACTGTTTTTTGTAAACCCTTTTTCAGCAATAAAAGGAAATTTTATAACGTTCATTTATTTATTAGATGTTAACTAGTGTTACCATTCATTTTAACAACAAAATCACCATCTTATGACATTTTTACTTATACAATATTAGTGATATATGTGATACCCCTTGATTCTAGAGCCACGGGTGATCAAGTCCGGGCACAGATCCGAAGGATACCAGATAATCAATACATAAACAAGCAGGAATAAAACTGAATTAAGAATAAAATAATGATATGATGAAAAGAATTCTAATTGTAAAACCTCCTCCAAAAATAAAAGTTTTAATATAAACTAACTTTCCAATCCGTACAACTCGGGAATCCAACTAGTGGACCCCTAATAATCTCAACTGATAAAACTTTACAGAATAAAATCCAAAACTAAAACCAGAAAGAAAAATCCTATTTAGTCGGAAGAGTGAGTGACTGTATCTGCATCACCACGATCAAACCCCAAGCCTGGTACTCACGAACACCTGAAAAATAAAGGTGGGTCAGGCCCACATGCAAGTTCCATCCTACTACAATCCGTACATAAACCCGATACGCAGATACATCCTAGATAGCTCAACAATAGTTACAATAGTCCATAGATATATAAATACACACTATAGGATGCTCACTAGCCTATAACATAGTTCAGCCTGGGTAGAAGGTGACCTATAAAACACGCTTTTCAGCGGCCAAGTACCTAGACCTACCAGGGAACATTTGCTATATCTAGCTACTCAACCTTTGCGATATACGCACCCTAACCGTGATCAGGAGACTCAAGCTCGTATCACAGTACCATAAATATATATATAAATTCCTTCCTAATGCCGAAAGATAAAACAAGCATCCATTATGTCGTTCAACTGTTTTAGTTGACAGGACATGTATTCATGTAGGAGTTAACTATTTTAGTTAATCCATTCCGTATGTAAGAAGGGGTAGGACTAAGCTTTTTGATCTAATCCATCCCTGATATGTCACCGTCCCATACCGGTACATATAATGCAAATGATCCATAAACGATGCACATTCATTAGAACATCAAATAAATCCAGAAACCAGCATAATAGAAAACAGATATTATTAAGATCCTATTATGCATCCAGTCTATGATTATAATCCTTAATCCTCCAAATAAATTGTTAAAGTATTGATAAACAATTTATATTATCCACATCCATACAATTGATAAAACAGAAGTTAAACAGTTCATCAATTAACATCCATAACCTGTTATAATGATCAGCCAGAAATATGAACTAAATACATTATACTAGATATCCCAAACCATCCTCTCATACTATATTATTTAAATTGCCAAAACAAAGACAAGTAATGAAATCCTCCACAATCCTTAACAGCATGAAAGTTAGCATTTACACCACATGACGTCCCTTTGATCCTCCACTCCAAAACCTGTGCCTGATATAATATGACACTCTGAATTCCAAACTGCTCATTATATGAAACCCCAACTGTATTCCCATACTAGTCCATTTAGTTCGCTAAACCAAAACTAGCAACTAAAATTCCTACCACTCCTCACAGCATTCCATTTAATATCTAAGTTAATACTGTCTATGCCCATATCCTACACCGAACTTTCTGGCCTCCATTAAAGTATATAAATAATTTATATAACATCCCAAAAGTAATTCGATACCAGTCAGTTTAAGTTATTAAAACAAACTTATTAACTTAAACATTCATCCTTCCTTGACAGTATGTCTATTCCACGTTTCTGTTTCCTGATGCCCCTTAAGATTAGCACCCTAGCATAAACCAACTATTTAAGGGTCTTAATAGGTTAATTTTAACATATTTGAAACCCCCTTTAATTTTCAGTATTTGCGTTTAACCCCAGAACTCCGAAAAAATTACAGAAAACACCCCATAGGGGGTTTTTTCCCATGGGAGCCGGCTCCCCTTTATTGGAGCCGGCTCCTAGGCTTCTAGAGCCGGCTCCCCCTCATGGAGAGCCGGCTCTCTCTTCATGGGAGCCGGCTCCTACCATTTAGGAGCCGGCTCTCACCCCTGAGAGCCCCTCTCTGCTTCACTGCTTCGTCTTTGCTTCCGGTAGAAGTTCCAACTGTCTGTCCTAAGTTTCTTAAGGATTTTAAGAGTTCAATTTAAGCCCTAATACTCCTAGAAACTCCTTTGATTTCCCTAAGAATAGTTTGGCAAAAATCTAATTTGAAGACAAAAACAGTTTATGCAAACAACCAATTCAGTTATTCTTCGCTTCCGGCGAAGTCCAGTGTCATATCCCAAACTTTTGTAGCATTCTTTGGATTCTATTTAAGTTCTTATAGTCCTAGAACCTCTCATACTCCAGTGTAAATCAAACGACAGAAATTAAACTCACAACAGAATAGTTTAAGCAACAACGGGTTTAAACTTTAAAAACACAGAACAGATTTCAAAAATCATCTAGCAATGCATAAAATCCGTTTTTAATAGTTTAATTAAGTTCCTGGAGTCTATACAAGATGCACAGAACACAAGTTTATGGGGAAAGAGATAGTCTGAAACTTGCCTTTAGGTTTCGGTTTGAAACCTTTCAACACCGTTGCTAACTTCTCCGACGAACTGTAAACTACCGGCAACTCTCCTACTGCTCCAGTTCTATCTCAGCATCAACCTCTTCCTTCCTCTATGGTACACCTTTAGTCCATAGCTGAAAGCTTAATTGATTCTCTCTGTGTCCCTCTGTGTTTTTCCCTTCAAACCTCTCTGTTTCTCTCTTCTCTAGTTTCCCTCTGTTTACTTCTCCAGATTATTATGTGAAAAGGGTGTCTTGCAGACAAATATTTTTCTATATATATAGACTCATGCAAAAAAAAAACCCTAATCCTAATTCCAGCCCAAGTATAAGTCGGCCAACCAAAATACTTAACACCAAAACCCTAAACGTAAATATAGCTACAACCATATAACTTAAATCAAATAAGTTACACAAACCATTTAAAAACACGTAATAATAAAAAAATACAAATTAATCAAATAAATAAAATAAATCCCAATTGCACGTAATTAAGTTAAAATAAATAAATAACATAAAACAAATACACAATACCAATTTTAAACAAGTAAAACAATTAACCACTTAGCCAGATAATCATATTTAAATGCACACAAAACAAATAATCAATTTATCAATTTAAAATGCACATAAATAATTAATTAAATTTCCATTATATCTTTTTTAAAATTAGGGGTATTACAATATATAATTAAATTTTTTAAGTAATTAAATTTTTAATTACACATATATATATATTGACTAACACTAAATTAATTACTTAAAAATTTTAATTAAAGACATTTATGGACTAATAGAGAATATGAATTTAAATCTATTCATGAGGAAGTAGAAAAATCTCCATAACTCAATAATAATAATAATAATAATAAAGGAAAAAAAATAATAATAATAACAAAAAGCTCCATAATATCTTCTTTTACTAAGAAAAAAAATTTAGATATCAAACTTGTGTATATAATTCAGAAGCACCTGTTTTAATATATTCAATAATTTTAAGCAACATTAAATAATACATGACATTAAATATGTACATAAATGGATCCGCAAATACTGTAATTAAAAGGCCTAGCATTAAAAAAGATAAATCAGCAATCGCTGATATCCTAAACCTAACCCTAATCCCAACTCGATGCGTTAGCGAAAGCAAAGTTGGGTTTTCAGGAGACAGTATGATCATCGAAGAGTTGAAGCCGACAACAAATCTAGGGCTTGGAAGATCATATTCAGAAGCAAATTGGGTCTTGAAGATTTTCTTGGCTTGAGATGAAATTTAGAAACAGATTTGATCTTTAAGATGTTTTTGGCTTATTCGCAGATCACTACCTTTCTAGCGTTCTTCGCCACACAGATCACTACGGAAAAGATGATTGCTACGATAACAGAGTAATTTCAGGGTGGTTGCTTTGACTGAATCTTCTCTATCTGCAGAAATTGAAAAATTTGGCGACATGGCAGAAGGGGAAGAGTTCAGCTATAAATAGAGAGAGAAAAAGGGGGAAAGGAGAGAGATATAAACGAGGAAGAGGAACGCCTTTTTTTATTTAGTGAATCTGTTCTCCGTGTTTTCAATAAATGAGTTTGGTTTTGTGAGAATTCTGAGAACAACTTTTTTTTGTTCTCTAAAAACCATAACTCTGTTAACTCTGTTTTTGAAAAACTGTTAAAACTGTTCTTGAAAAGCAGTTCCAAGCAGTGTGTAAATTGATTTTCTGAATTTTGGAAACTCGCAGAACAAAAAAACTGTTCTGGAAAAACAGTTCAAGCAGAGCCTATTATTTCCTTTCTTTAGATAGGGAGCAACAAAATGGTCCAATTATTTAGTTGGAGCATTCATCCTCATCACTAAGTTAAAAAATAAATAAAGATTTTTTTATGACTAATTCCTCCCTTGTTTCGATATAAAATATTTTTTTTAAATTTTTTTTAAGTAAAATATTTTTATTTTATTTTTATTTTTCAATGCTTGGCAAAATTTCTAAGTTGATGTCTAGTCCATGGAGTTGTACGTGTAAAATAATTTCCAAAATTTGATGGTGAGAGATTTTTGTTAAGTTTTAATAATATATTTTACTTAAATTTTTGAAGAAATTTTTTTTTTCTCCTTTAAAGATTATAATGTTATATTAGAAAATTAGAAGTGTCGGGACTCGAAACTGAACTTCCAAAACAACCAGGAGCAATCCAATCAAATGGGGAATGTGTATAAATGTGTGGGTATACAGCACTACCTAATAATTTAAATTTTTAGATGATTGGGTAAGCGTTACAGTTGATATTAGAGCCAAACTTAGCCATTGATCTAGTATCACACCAAGCACTCGCCCCGGAAGCGTCCGAGTGTGTCATCCGAATAGACAAGGTGACCCAACCACAACAATAGCGTTGTAAGTGAATGAGTATATGGGCAAGTGCTCACCCCATTGCACCTTGGCTATCAAAGTGTTGGTAAATTTTTGACAACCAAACACAAAATATGTGTATATGTGTGTGTGTATGTGTGTGTATATATATATATATATATATTTAAAAAAAGTTACATTCAAACAAACGGAGATTTTAAGAAATTTGTTTTAATTTTATAATGTATTAATGTTTAATAAACTTGGTGCATTACTTTATAAATGATGTTATTGCCTGCTGACCAATTATGTCCGATTAATACGTCTACAGATGTTAGAATAATATTACTATGACTTGAATTTACACATTTTTCAGCTGAGAAATCCTCAATTTCTGTAGAATTATCTCTTTTATTGCTTACAAGATTTACAGTATTTTAATTAACTAAAAAAATCGCCATCTTAACATATACTGTGGATAAATATAAAATAAAGTGCATAACACGTGAGTGGGGAGGGTGTCGTCCCTCACTCTCTCTAACTGCTTATAAATAAGGCAGTGAAAAAAAACTTCCCAAATCCAGGTGCATTGAGTTTGAAAATGGCGGGAGCTCTGGTACCAATATCGAGCGGCGAACGGCGGGAATGGGAGGTGCAATACTCTCGCTTCTTCAACCCTCCTTCTCTCTCCTCCTCCTCCTCTACTTGTTCCTCTCTCTCTCTTCTCTCCAATGGCAAACGAAATCGCTCGAGAGGCACCTGGATCTCTTCATCCTCTTCCACCGCCTCTCTCAAACTACTCGCCGATCGGTCCACTTCCAATCTCATCCTCATCGTCACTTTCCGAGAAAAAATATGTGTGAGTCAACGAAGTTTCTCTACAATACTATTACTATTCGAATATCCAAATCCTGTGATGTATTATCTGTACATAAATTGGATTTATATAGCACGATTTTCGCATTTCCGTATTTTGTGTTTGCATAACTGTATATGTGAATTGCATCTTATTCAGGCTCGATCTCGTGATTTCTTCAATGTTTGATGGTTGCGTGTTGATTTCCGTGTGTTATTGAATTATATTCTCAGAAGTAACTTTTGATTAGGTTTAATTTAAGGACTGTGACTTCACGATTATCTTAGTTCTTGTTTATGATTCATTTAAGGACCGATTTCTTCATGATCATCAGCTGTTGTTCAGATTGAAATTATTCAGCATAATCTTCAAATTTCTTTTTCCGTGTTTGTATATACGAATTGCGTTTTATTCAGGCTAGATCTTATGCTTTTTTAAAAATTGATGGTTGTGTGTTGATTTCCGTATGTTATTGAATCATCTTCCCAACGTTTACTTTTGATTATCTTTAGTTTAAGGACCGAGACTTCGTGATTTCGTTTCGTTCTTGTTGAGTTGAGGCATTTGTTCAATTGATAATTGAGATTTGAGATGCTACTTACTGTGTGCATTGCTGGAAGTGCATGTTTACTTCTGAAATTATTAGTATGCATTTGTCATATACATTTTAATATGTTGCAGGAAAGGCACTACATTTCCAAGCTGCATTTCTCCTGGCCTCAGGTGTGCTGTTTATATGGATTTCCAGCCAGAGGTAGCAGAGCTATTTTTGTCACCTATAATGATGGTGTAGGCCAGGCAAGCTGTTCAACACTCCTATGGATGCCAAAATAATTAGATTGGTTTTTGATGAGCCCTCTTATACCCTATGTTTTTTCTTGAATTGATGGAGAACTAATCCAATAAAAGATTTTTTAAGAAAAAAAATATAAGGGCTAGAGAAATTTATTTCCTTAATGCCGATTTAATTCCTTAAGCAACTGTAATATACCATTATGATAAATGGAACCTTAATAGAAGTGTCATGAATTTTTTCCCCAGGGACTCTCTTCTGCCAAAAAAGTCTAAGCTAACGTGGAAATGATTTACATTGATATAAAGTTATGTAATACACTTCAGGGAGTGAGTTTGAGATCTTTAAAGGATCCTTATTGTTCCCGCTATATATGTCGTCTCACAGAGTCATGGATGTCCTTCAAAGTGGGGTCAGGGTATTAACTTGCTAGCATAAGTGAGTCTGTATCAACATCAAAACAGTCCTTGTAATAGTTGGAAACTTATAACTCTTGTGTCTATGCTTTAGTCTTCATATCAGGAGATCTACCTGCCTTGGATCTGCTTGATATCTATGTGGAGCTAGCTGCTCATATTTATTTGATGAATAATCTTTGAAACTGCTTCCTATCAGTACTTGGACAGTAAATTGTAAATCATTAGATATGCAGTGTCTGCTATTTGTAGTGTGATTTATTTTTATAGCCCTATCCAGTGAGTTTTGGTTTTGAGATTTTTTAATTTTGCAGTAAATGCATCAAATACTAAACACAGATTAGCAGATGAAAATAAATTTGGACTGCACAAAAGTAATTCACACAACATAGAATATATATCTTTCTCCAAAAATGTGATCGAATGTTATACACTTTCTGTTTGGGCCAAAATTCAGAAGTGAGGGAAGAATCAATCTTTTTATTGACATAAAGTTATTCCTCACAGTTAAAATCTCGTGTTAGTTGTACAGAAGATTGTGGACTTGCACCTTATCTGCTATTGTAATATGCAAGTGCTCTTCATTTTGATGTCATTATTGAAATTGAAGTTGTTTCTATAGGAGCTTGATATGCATTGTTGAGCTCATTCTCTAACAGCTTAAGTTTGTAGAGCATTTGGTAGTCTAACATAGTGTTAAAGTTTTGGTTCTAGGGGATCTTTGGTTCAAGTCTCCATTTCTGCACACTTCAGTGTACAAGTTTGCACTCATTCTGATATTGATTTAGCATGTTTGCCTCACCACATGCAAGATGTGAGGGAGAGTGTTGGAGGTTTGGAGCTTGATCAGCATTTTTAGGCCCATTCTCTAATAGCTTAAGCTTTTGGAGCAATTGGCAGTCAACATTTTCAATAATGTCCAGTTCCTTTTTTTTTTTTTTTTTCTTTCTGTAAATCATGAAGTTTGATTATACATATATATTTTCATCCATTGCTGCAACCTCAGTAAATCCTTTTGCTTGTTTGCAGATCCAGAAGTTTGCTATACGGTTTTTGTCAATACACGAATCAGAAAAATTTGTGAATTCTTTGAAGGTGAAAACATGACAATCTAGATCTCTATAATGGGTTGAATGATATCATCTGAAAACTAATTTTTCCATTGGCTACCCTTGGCAAATTGTCCCTTTTCTTTTGTAACAATGATGCTTTGTTTTGTTCCTTTCCCAGGAGATCTTGGAGGATGAAAGGGTTGGTGGGCTTCCATCTGGTGGCATTGAATATGAAATTTCATCTCAATCTGAGTTTGTCCCTTCTAATGAACCCGCACATAGGTGAAAATGGAGACATTCTATTATTTAACTGCAGTTCTCTCCTTAGCAGCATATATAAAGAACCAGAATGATTATGAATTAAATTACGAATAAAAAACCAAAAGGAAATTCTAACTGAGACATATGGTGTTTGCAGATCTAGGGAGGATTGGAATTTTAAGAATTCTCTTGACACTTCTACCCATGAGATGCCACCAGGCTTGAACTGTGGAGTTGCCCAAGACTCAAATTCCCAGGAAACCAAACCTAATAGGGATGCTGAGCGCATTTTTTCTGCCTTGCCTCCCAGCTTCATGTCATTATTGAGCAACTGTCACACTGAGAGCAACTGTCACACTGAGCTCAAACAAGGTAGATTTATTGGCCCAGTTATGACTTGGTCTTGTCTTCTCGGTTCTGCTCCATTGATTGACTCTTTTCCTGATAAATATTTATGCAGTTGCAGCACAACCAACTATAACTGGGGAAGTTGATCTCAAATACCAAATCATGGTACCGTGTCAAATCCTCTGATCTTGTTTTATTGATCAAAATTTTATAAGTGGTTATATGGTGCTTGTTTCTATTGACGTTGTTTCAAACTGCGTTTAGTTAATAGTAGAACACTAGAAACTATTTTCTTAAGGATCTTATTTATTTATTTTATCTTTTTATTTTCAGAAATATATGGAAGATTCCTCTTTCCTAGGTAAGCATAGTCCTAATGCCCTTAATATGCAGCTTTAGAAGTTTTAAAGCTGGTGTCCCTTTTACTTGCTTATGTTGTTCCTTATATGCAAAAGAGATAAATGTATGTACTGTCATTTAATCTTATTGGCCTCTTAAGTTATTCCTTATTGTTAGGATGCATTTTCCAATTCACGGACTCATAGACAGAAGCATACATGCACATAAGATGCTGATAGACCAAATTTTCAGATCTGCTAATATCTGATTATTGATCAAACCTTTCAGCTTTCTGTAAAGCATTTTATCAGTTTTATCATTCAAGCTGCTGATTTTTCAAAAATTTCCTGTCATTACCAGATATGCTGAGCAACGTAGAAAAAGTTATCAGTGATATTGGAGGTGATTTGACACTCTAATTGTGGGTCACTTGGCATCCGTGAGCTCGTGATCTTATTGACAAGTAACACCAGCTATGTTCATTATAGAATGATACCCCTTTTTTCCCCCTATTTTTTGTAATTGCTGTTGTAGGATTCATGACAAGAGTTTTGATTCCAAAATGCATTATATAAACATAAACTCTGTTCTCCACAAGACTTGGTGTGTATGATATTTCTTTGCCAGTTGCTCCTCCCTTGCCTTTTGTTATTGGTTATATTTTGGTCAGATGAATTCAATTGGAAACAAGTAGAGAAAAGGAAAAGATTATAATCAAGCCTGACCAGACTAGGGGTTGCCCAAGGCCTAGACTCGCCTGATTTCCTGTTGTGTAACCAATTTATGTTTTGTCCACGCGGGATGCTAAAAAAAACTGGTAACAACCTAACCTAGCCTTGGACAGTATTCTAGGTTATATCTGTCACCATACAAGTATATCATAAAACTTAATCTGATTGCATTTTCATTGCATCAAAACTTCATCTGGCCTAGTTAATTGGTGTCCAGGACAAGAGATAGAATCTCAATTACTAAATTGTAAACATCGAAACAACTCTATATTTGGATGGGACCTTGCTAAATTTCAAATGCTGCGCCATAGGGAGAAACTTTGTTTACTACAAAATGATACTAAAAAACAAGCACTTCTCAACTTACTTGACGGAAGTTTCCACAGGAATGAAAGTTAATCTACACCCATAACCTAAAAGCCCATCCTTTCTTTCCTGAATTCCTTGATTTCATTTCTTCACCTTTCTTTTCTTCACATGAGAAACTCCATGTCCAAATCCATGTCTCCAAACAATCTCCTTTCCCTTCTCTTCCTCCTCCTCCCTACTTGGACAACTCTTTTCGTCACAACTTTTGCCTATGATGTCTCTATTAATTCAACTCTTATGTTCCCTTTTAATTGCTCTGTAATTGTCAAGACATGTAACTCTTTACTCTACCACAACAATGGTCTTCAAGAAGAACAAATTGCCTCCTATTACTCTGTCAACACTTCACAAATCAAGCCCATTAGCCATGGCAACAAACAAGACTACTTAGTATCAGTACCTTGTTCTTGCAAAGACGTCAATGGCACCGTCGCCTACTTCTACGATACACTCTATAAAGTGCAGCCAAACGACACGTTTTTCAATGTTTCGAATCAGATTTACAGTGGGCAAGCTTGGAATGATGGAGGAGAACAACATTTTGTTGCAGGAGAAGAATTTCCAATGCATCTACTGTGTGGTTGCGTGGGAAGTGAGTCGCAAATTGTGGTGACATACACAGTTCAGCAAGGTGACACATTAGTAGGTATTTCTACTCAGCTTTCTGCTAAAATAAGTGATATAGAGAACATGAACAGAAATCTGATTCAGAATCCAGGTTTTATAGATGTTGGGTGGGTGTTGTTTGTGCCAATGGAGAATAATGGAACTACAGTCCCATAGAGAGAGCTCAGCAATGTTTTTCTGAGAATTATACTCGTCTCACTTCAACAAATGAATAATCTTCTTTTTTTTTTTTTTTTTTTTTGAAACGTAATAAAGCCAAATGTTAAATGTTTGAACTTAGTAGAAGTTCTTGCTGATGAACTTTTGGACTACCAACAAATTGTTTTTTTTTTTTTTTTTTGGTTTGTTTGTTTTGTTTCTGTAAATGTACTTGTTGCAAATTGTCTCAGATTGTATTACCATTTGACAAGGTTGATAGATACCCTTCGATTAGAACAAAAATACTGATGATAAACTTGACAAAAACTTCACAAGGTTGATCTAAATGGTTAATTATGGAAGTTGCCAATCATATAATTAAGAGATATATGTTGTCTTATCAAACTTGTAAATTTATTTTATATAGAATAATGCCACATATTTTTTAATACTAGTAACTTTTTTGTGACATAATATATATATATAAATAATTATTATTCTCATGCTCAACTTTAGATCATAAACTGTTTAAATAAAAATAAAAATAATAATGATTAAGGAATGGGTCATTCCAGTCCTCACTCCTCACTTGAATGGAGTTTTCGGCCAACGTAGTACTACTCAATAACAATATAATCTTTTAAGGTCCATTGAAACGAGTTGGTTGTCTTTTTCTCTTTTAGTAATAAAGGAATTATATGGGAAGGGAAATGATTTTCCTTTGGATGTAATTTTTTTTTTATATAGTACTATATTTTTCATATGTGGATAATCAAAGCAAAATTGAGTGAGTGGGCTTAAATTGTTCATTTTAAAATTTCATGATCGGATTTGAATGGAATAGGATTTTAATTAAAGAATGTTACAGTATTTAAATTTTACCGTTTGTTTCCTACATCACAACGGAACCCTATATAGTACCCCGTACTACAGTAAGAAAATAAAGTAAAAGTTCCAAAAGAGAGATTTTTACTCACTCACTCACTCTCTGAGAGGCAGTTGCTTCAGAGTTCTCCAACAAAATTATCGAGTGACATTTTTTTTATTTGCTTCTGCCACTCTGAAAGCCCGCACAAATCCCATGTAAAACGTTATTAAAGTACAGTTAATTTTATGAAATAATTAAATATATTATTATGGGCTAAAACAACACATTACATGCTTACCTGACACATTATATTTTATGTAATACTAAATAAAACTCACACAATCACTTATGCTTATACCAAAAAGTAAAATAAAACTCGTACAGTTGCTTCGGAGTTCTCCAACAAAATTATCGACATAATATATATATATATATATATATATATATATATATATATATATAAATAATAATTATTCTCATGCTCCACCTAGATTATAAACTGTTTAAATAAAAAAACAATAATAATGATTAAGGAATGGGAGGGTCCTCACTTGAATGGATTTTTCAACCAGCATATTACTACTCAATAACAATATAACTTCCTAAGGTCTATTAAAGGGAGTTGGTTGTCTTCCCTCTCCTAGTAATAAAGGAATTATATGGAAAGGGAAATGATTTTCCTTTGGATTCTATTTTTATTTATTTAGTATTATATTTTTTATATGGGGATATTCAAAGCAAAATTGAGTCTAAGCGATCTTAAATTGTTCATTTTAAAATTTGTAGTCAAATGATCGGATTTGAATGGAATAGGATTTTATTTAAAGAATGTTATTTAAATTTTACCATTTGTTTCCTACATCACAACGGAACTCTTATGTAATACTACCGTAAGAAAATAAAATAAAAGTTCCAAAAGATAGATTTTCACTCACTCTCACGCACACAGTTGCTTCAGAGTTCTCCTCCAACAAAATTATGGAGTGACATTTTTATTATTTGCTTCTGCCACTCCGAAATTCCTCACAAATCCCGTGTGATGAGTATAAAACTTTATTAATTAATAAAAAGTAAAGTTAATTTTATGAAATAATTAAATATATTATTTTGTGCTGAAACAACACATTCTTACGAGACACATTATATTTTATGTAATACTAAATAAAACGCACACAATCACTTATGCTTATACCAAAAGGCTAAATAAAACTCATACAGGCATAACAAATAAATGGAAGTTTTATTTAATTTTTTAGTTAGCCGTTTCAAGAACATATAATAAATTTTTTAGGCCACCTTTTTTATAACCCTGTTTTTCTCCGGTACTCATGTGCAACATTTTTTAAAAAACAGAGCTTTATAATTTATAACTTTAAGACATTGAGGATAAATTAGGTATAATAAAAAAAATAGTGTATTAATTTTTAAATTGGAACAATTATTTTGAAACAAATAAATTTTTTTATGAGAACCAAATCATTAAAATTATTATTATTATTAAATAGTTAAACTCACTTATTTAATTATTGAATTTCACTTTAAATATATACTTAATCACTTTTTCATCTGAATTCAATATGAATTACTGTTATTAAAACCATATAATATAAATATGAGAAATGCTAGGAGGGGATATAGCTCCATTGAAAATTGAAACCACTTGAAACCACAGTAGTAACAATATCATTCCTCCAACTTTTAACTAAAAAAAAAAAATCATTCCTCAAACATTTGATAGAGCCATGCTATATACGCCAAGGGAGTGCACCAGATTGAGCAGCCGAAGATCACTGGATCCACTGAAATGGGACCCATGTGTGCCGAATTGAGATGCTCGGCCCATGAATTACACTCTCTCCGATATGAGCTCAAATCATCTGTTGTGCGATTCCCATGCTGTTTCTTACAGTGAGCGGTAAGTGACATTGGTTTGGTCATGTTTTATTCCACCTAATAGACACTAAGACTGTGTTTGGCAATTGCACCACTAACATTTCACCACTATTTATAAATAACATTACAAAAGTCTAAAAGTAATATTACATAGTATAAAAAGTAATATCACCACCATTTCCTAAGTAATGTCACATACAAACCTAACTGAATTCACCACCATTTATAAGTAACATTTTATCATCATTTATAAGTATCTTCACCCTTAAATTAAGGTATGCACATAAATGGTGATATTACTTTTAAACTCCTGTGATGTTACATTTTAGATCATGTGCCACCATTTATAAGTATCTTTATCCTTAAATTAAGGTATGCACATAAATGGTGATATACTTTTAAACTCCTGTTATATTACTTTTTAGATCCTGTAATGTTACTTATAAATGGTGGTGAGATGTTACTTATAAATGGTGGTGTAATTGCTAAACACGATCTCAATTGTCAAATAGTGGTGAATGACGTGGCCAAACAAAAACCACATAAAAACTTACAGCAGGGACAATATGGAAATCTACAGCAGAGGATTTGCGGCCCCAATTTGACATAGGTTTCCACTTCAAAGGATCCATCGACCTTAAGACGCTTAACCGAGAATTTGGTGTACTCTTTCGGTTTAAAAATCATTTTTCTATTTAACATGAGTCCCACTTCAACGACAGCCCGTGAATACAGTCACTCCCTTGATTTAGAAATCAATTTCCTGTTTGACATATAACAGAAGAGAATGGTTTCAATGACTACGACGACGACAAGCAAGCAAAACACACTCTTTTGTAGTTTAAAATTGGTGAAACATGAAAAGCCATTTAAAAAGGGCTCAAGCAGACAACCATGAGTTTCAAGCACAAAAGACAGACCCTTCTCGACGAAATTCTCCGTCCTCCAATGCTTACAAGATTGATGACTTGACAGCTTATACGAGTCTCACCAGATGTGGCCACACAATGCCTTTGTTAAAGCTATCACTGGCATAAGATGCACTCATACAATCGCAAAAATTTTCAAGATTGCCCTTTGACACCTCTTACAGTAAAATCTGTGACGACCACGACGACAACAACAACGACAACGACAAAAACAAAATAAATAAATAAATAATATCTAATGCATATTTCAACCTAGCCCAGCCTTGAACAGGTATGAATTCATCTGGCCTAATTGATTCTGTTATTGGTGTGACCAACTTTTGGTATCCCGGGCAAAAAATAAATCTCAATTACTAAATTGTAGACATCGAAAGACACTATTTTTGGATTACGACCTTGCTAAATTGCAAATGCTGCACTCAGGGAGAAACTTTGTTTACTACAAAATGATATTAAAAAGCAAGGACTTCTCAACTTTCTTTATTATAAAGAACTTGACGGCAGTTTCCATATGAATGAAGTCAAATCTAGACCAATAATCTAAATGTCCATCCTGTAAACCAACAAACATGCAAGCCACAAAGAGAACAACGAGAAAGACGGTCTTTTTGAATTCCTTGATTTCATTTCTTCTCCTTTCTTTTCTTCACATCACAAACTTCATGCCCAAATCTATGGCTCCAAACCATCTCCTTTCCCTTCTCTTCCTCCTCCTCCCTACTTCGACGACTCTTTTCATAACAACTTTTGGCCAGGATGTATCCGTTAATTCAACTCATATGTTCCCTTTTAAATGCTCTAACAATATCAAGACATGTAGCTCTATACTCTACCACAGCAACGGTCTTCAAGAAGAACAAATCGCCTACTATTACTCTGTCAGCACTTCACAAATCACGCCCATTAGCCATGGCAACAAAAAAGACTACCTAGTAACAGTACCTTGTTCTTGCAAACAAGTCAATGGCACTCTTGCCTACTTCTATGATACATTCTATAAAGTGCAGCCAAACGACATATTTTATAATGTTTCGCGTCAGATTTATAGTGGGCAAGCTTGGATGGTTGGAGGGGAAGAAAGTAGTTTTGTTGCAGGAGACGAATTTCCAATGCATCTACTGTGTGGTTGTGTGGAAAGCGACACACACATTGTGGTGACATACGCAGTTCAGCAAGGTGACACATTAGCAGATATTTCTACTCTGCTATCTGCTAAAATTAGTGATATAGAAAGCATGAACAGAAATCTGACTCAAAATCCAAGTTTTATAGATGTTGGTTGGGTGTTTTTTGTGCCAGCCGAGAAGAATGGAGTTATAGCCCCAGAAGCCCCAAAGAAAGGTTAGTAATGTTTTTCTGAGAATCTACAGTTGCACTTCAATTAATGATTCCTTTGTTTCTTGAAACCTAATAAACCCAAATGCTAATATTTAACTAAGTAGATGTTTATGCTGATGAATTGTTTGGACTTTCCACAAATAGTTTTTTTTTGTTTTTTTTTTTTTTTTTTTTTTTTTTTTTGTTTCTCTAAATGTACTTGATAGTTTATTGCAAATTATCTCTTTCCCTCTACCACAGTTCTATGACAAGATTTTTGCATTTACAATGCCACATTTTTCTTTCTTATATATATATATATATATTGTTATTCACTTTCAAAATATCTGGTTTCATATTGTGGCATTTGATTCTATATCTGTCATGCCTGCCATATTTAGTGATCGACACTTAATACTCCTTCAATGATATCCAAGGATACTGACCTGCTCCTCACTGTCAAAAAACTTGCAAGACGACATATTTTTTCAGCATAGAAGTTTACTAGCTTCCTTACCTTGTTTTTTCTGTATTGCAACAGGAATGGACCACAAGTGGACAATCATCATTGGCGTATTATCAGCTCTTACATTACTTTCAATGTGCACATTTGTAATCATCCTTCTTAGGAGAAAAAGAACTAGGAAACACAACCAGGAAGATCAAAGGGCTGCTGTGTCCAACAGCATGAGTGCCAACAAATCTTTCTCCTTGCAGAAACAATTCGTGCATAAGGAAAATATGGAAGGTCAAATAAACTCAACTGCTCTGTTTCTTGTGTGCCTAATAATAATTATAATCAGTACACTACTTGTGTGTGTGTGTGAGACAGAGAGGAGAAGTAAACTCATTCAAAACGAATTCACGTGTACAGATGTCACACTCTTTGAATCAGAAAGACCAGTAATATATAGTCTCGAAGAAATTGAAGAGTCCACAAGCAACTTCAGCGAAACTAGAAAAATTGGAGAGGGTGGATATGGTAGTGTATATTTTGGAGTAATAAGGGACCAGGTATGGTGTGACATGTCTCTTGTAGTTCTCTGTTTATCTCATCGATCGTGCTAGGCATCACCTTGTGTCCCACACTATTTGAAGTTGACATCACAAATCTAACTGGTATTCAGGAGGTTGCAATAAAGAAGATGAGATCAAACATGTCCAAGGAGTTCTTTGCGGAGCTCAAGGTCTTGTGCAAGATACATCACATCAATGTGGTAAGAAATCATCTCTAGAAAGTGAAAATAAAAATAAAAAAAATCACATGATGTTGAGGCTATGCACAAGCTTTTCACTTACTGGATATAATTTATAGATGGAACTACTGGGGTATGCCAGCGGGGACGACCACCTCTACTTAGTTTATGAGTTCATTCAGAATGGATCTCTCAGTGATCATCTTCATGACCCTTTACTAAAAGGTATTTAAATTATAGGTGTAATTATTATCATTGTCACAACATGCATGTTTAAAGGTTAAAGGAAAGAGAACAGAAGACTCGGAAAGACAATGTGCTTCACACAATCTAAAAGACTGTCATGTCAAATTAGAGTGGGTCAGTACGTTCTCCATTCTTCTTCATAAAGAGCTAAAGTCTAATAGAAATATCAAAGAATGGACTGAGATTCACTCCTCATCAAATCGAGGTCTCATACTTTGACTTCAGATTAAACTTGGGTCACTCAGGGAAGTTATTTGTGGAAAATGTATAATGACAAACATAGCAGACAAGTTACTGAAGATAAGATTATGATTGCAAAATTGGAATAAATTTGTAAAATTAGATTCTAGTACAGAGAAGTTTACATATATCTCAAATAACCATAAAGTCCTATTCAATAAAAAAATCATGATGTAAAGGAGCAACCTTATCTCAATTTTTTTCCAAACCTCCTATTCTTGATGTCTTCAAGAGAAGATTTGACTTGCTTTTGTACTTCAATGCTTGGAAATTAAGTCAAAACTAAACAGAAAGAGAAAGGCCCTTACATTAATAGGTATTTAACCAGGTCATCAACCACTCTCTTGGACTGCAAGAGCACAAATTGCACTGGATGCCGCAAAGGGTATTGAATACATTCACGATCACACAAAAGCCCGGTATGTGCACCGTGATATAAAGACAAGTAACATCCTGCTAGATGAAGGGCTCAGAGCAAAGGTACCATTATCACAACTCATTTCAAATTCAGGATAGTACTCTTTATATGTCATGCAGTTTAATTTATTTATTATTGAATCCTGGTTCATAAATTAGAACAATATCTAGTATTCTCTCTGTCATATAAATGGATGGAACGTTACAAATCAACCATCTATGATTCAACAGCATAAGGCTTTCTACGTTTTATCATATTTGTTCCACTAAATCCTTATAGAGCATAAGTTATGTCATTGCACTAAAGACATAAGATTCCGGGTTCCTACACTAAAGGTGAAAACAAGTTTTCCCAATCTTAGCTGTTATTCTTTAATTCAAGAGAAAATTATTTGAAAAGCTAAATAAACGCACAACTTGCTTCAATTGTTATGCTCAGAGTTCTGCAGCCGAAATTTTACTCTTTCTACTAAGAATGAAGTTAAATCTGTCCACTTTCTCTTAGGTTTTATTTTATTGCACTATCTTAAAAAAAATCCATTTCTATAGGTTGCAGATTTCGGATTGGCAAAGCTTGTTGGGCGAACCAATGAAGACGATTACATAGCAACTCGCCTTGTTGGAACACCAGGATACCTTCCCCCTGAGTAAGTTTTATGTTGTTGTGATATACAGTCATTCACTAACTGTAGGTGCATGAGGGAGTGAAGTGGGGATAGTACCACGAATGTCAACTAAATATGTTTCACATTTGGTGACACTATTCTTCACTAGACTGATTAAATGTGATTTTGACATTCTAGACATTTTTTTAACAGGTCTGTCAAGGAGCTGCAGGTGACAACTAAAACAGATGTTTTTGCATTTGGAGTAGTTCTAGCAGAGCTCATAACTGGTCAACGTGCACTCATCCGTGACAAAGGGGAGCCCAACAAAATGAAGGCACTCATCACAGTTGTAAGTCATTTAGTACAAAATAAAAAGGCAACTATGTTGAGTCAAGGTTAAAAACAGAATTTTGAAGCATGATTAATTATTCAAAATTGCATTCCCTTTAACAAAGAGTACTTTAGCTGAATCACGCTCCAGTATAACTTGCCAACCTACTAGATTTTGGCTAAATCATATAAAAAATATCTAAACATATGGACACAGTTACATATTTTGTGTTTATATATGTTGATATGATTATTTTATTTTTGTATGCAAATATGCATGCTATTAATCAGAGATTTTTTTTTTTTACTGATTTATGCATAAAAATAGAAGAATTATTCTCTTACGCATCTTTCTCATTTGTGTTCACTGAATGCACGGATGCCAGTCAAAATAAATCTTCATTATACTAAGCCAGCTCAGTTTTATTACATCACATGCTCAGGTAAATAAGTTATTCCAAGAAGAAGATCCAGAGACTGCATTGGAATCCATTATAGATGGCAATCTTAAGGGAAACTTTCCAATGGAGGGTGTGTACAAGGTTAGAATCATTATGTATTATTACTGTCTATATGCATATCAATAATTATTCTATCTTTTATGTATGCATAGAGGGGATATAAAATTAAACCTGAGTCAGGGTGCATAATAGGGGTCAATCTGTGCTACATCTATCAAATTTTGAACCAGGTCTCAGTACTTGATCCACATTGTGTGATAAGGCATGACACTTTTGGCTGCTATGTTCTCTAATTGAGACCACATATATGAAACAGAGGCAAACAAACGACATTTTTCTCAAGAATTCATTTTAACAGTGTTAAATAAAGTTACTTGTATATCCATAAACATCATGAAAACTGCATATATCACAATATAAAGATTATGACTTATAAAATTCAATAGATTTTCAGGGGAAAAAAAAGCCATAGACCACTGAATGCATATCAGTATGCTTTTGAAACCAATAAATGAGCTTGGAACCACGACAAGGAAAAATAGTCAAATGACATGCGTGTACAATAACATAAATGAACTGTGTTTCGAATGGCATTAGTAAAAGCGTGGTATGTAAACAAACTTTGTTCCTGTGGCACAAGTGCAACAAAAGGAGAACTGGTACTACCCATCATAACATTCTGTGAATGAGGCTGACACGTTCATCCATCTCTTCCAATCTCATTGTTGCAGATGGCAGAAATTGCCGAGTGGTGTCTAAGTGAAGATGCAGTCAATAGACCAGAGATGCAAGAGATAGTTGTGGCATTATCTCAAATCATGATTTCCTCAATAGAGTGGGAAGCATCATTAGGAGGGAACAGCCAGGTATTCAGCGGGGTTTTCAGCGGAAGATGAAAACTTTAGCAAATGTTTTGATTGATGACTCTAATTTCTATGCCATGTTTGATAACATGATGGTCTATTGCTAATGTAGAATTTCATTTTAAAGACTATCAATGGCTCTAGAAAATTGAAAGAGATAAAAAGATGTAATTAGTATTTTATGCTCTTGATAAGACAAAGATAGTTTGAATTTCAATTTATGCTTTTGACGAGAAAAAAATATGTAAGGCTTGTAAGCAATGTAAAGATGGATAGTATCAACAAGATTACCTACTCAAAACATGCTCATGAATCAATAGTAATGTTGTAAACTAGCAGAACTACATTGTGAAACACACACATTCTGGGCTATAGCCGTCATTTTATTTTGGTTATATCGTAGTTCTTTATGTGCCAAAAAATTACGCATGGACGCAGGGCTCTAATAAAGAATTGTAATAGAATAAAACCATGGACTAAATGGGTGGGTAGTTTACCTTTTTTTTTTTTTTTCAGAAAAGGTAAATGTTGATGTATTATGTATATATAGATATATATGTATGTAGATATATATGTGAATATAAATAATTACATGACTATCAAAGATTCTTGAACCAGCATGTAAAAAAAATAAAAATAATGTAATCATCATCAAATGAAATAATTGGAATCCCCAATTAAATTGGAATCTTGCCCTTACCACTCCAGTGTCCCCTACCAAGCCCATGTTGATTCCACCTATGATCAATGGCCTCGATTTTGTCACCAAACACAAGCAAAAACGGAGGCAAAGAACCCAACTCACAGATCCTCCTTGTCCTCTGCAATTCCATTCTCCAAAGGCAAATGTTGTTAGTAACCGCTATTCTTTACCATCTTGTTTGGGGCTTCTATAGCTCTGAGTTTGGGCTTTTTTAGTTCCTGTTGAGCCTTTTGGGCTTGTTGTGTATCTGTTTCACTGTAAATGTTTCTTTCCAAGGGACCTCCAACTGTAAACCTATAATCTATCTATATATTTGCTTCATCATTCGAAAAAAAAAAAAAAAAAAAAACATTTACGTGAACATTCATTGGCTTGGAGGGGCAAATTAATTTGAAGGAATAAAAAATCAGTGGGTTTTCTTAAATTATTAAGATTGAGAAATTATTGTTTGGAGGGTTAACAATAGTTCTTATTTTTTCTTAAATTATTAAGATTGAGAAATTATTGTTTGGAGGGTTAACAATAGTTCTTATTTCTCAATGCATATGTTATGTAATTATTTTACTTAACAAAGTGAAACTTAAATTTTTAAAATTGATCATTTTATTATTTAATACTCTTAACTTTGTGATTTTCAGTTATTCTTTTATACACTTCAAACTGAATTATTTTATCACCTTTAATAATTTGGTTCTCAAATATCTAATTAGTATTAAATTACTTTTTAATTTTTTAGTAAATCAATTCATTAAAAAAAATAATAATAATGCTTTGTTTGGGTAGGAAGGAAAAAAATTGAATGAAAGGGAGAGAAGAAATGATGATTGAGACATCGTAGGGAAAAGATTAAGTGTTTTCCTCTTTTTGTTGGGTTGGATGGAAAAGAATGGAAAAAACTCACAATTTAATTAGATTTGTAGGATAAAAAACGAAGGACAATGATTCTCTAAGTTAAAAGCCCTCCACATTATATTAAGTTGAATCACTTAAACACTGACACATGGCATTTTAAGTAAATCTATGGCTAATATTACACCACATTAACTCATTTAATAAAACTTCAAACCCTGTGTCGTTTTAGGGCTAAAGGAAGAAACGTTGTTAATAAAAACTCCCTACTGAATGTTGAATCATATAATATGTTTATGTAGATACAATGTATGTACTCTACAGGTTTGATGAAAAAATATATATATATAAAAAATAAAAAATAAAATCATGAAAAATTGGAAGATTACAACAACTAAGAATATCAAAACAATTAAAAACATTAAATCTAATTGATTAGATTACAAGAAAGAAAGGAAGAGAATATTTGAAGTATTACAGCAGATGATGATGAAATTTGAAAATCAAATCTCATGAGTTGATGTTGTCCTTCGACTCAAATCTGAGCATTATGGTTTTCCCTGTTAGGATTTTTACGAAGATCTTCATTTTCTTTTGAGGATTCGATGAATTAAACACTTTTTACTAATGGTTTTTTGCCTTTAGCCCTAAAATGATATAGTATTTTAAGTCTTATTAAATTGGCTGATGTGATGTAATTTTAGTCATAGATTTACTTAAATTGACATGTGTCAATTAATGTGGAAGTGATTCTAACTTATTATAATGTAGAAGACTTTTAACTTAGAGGATCCTTGTCTTAAAATGAAAGATAATCTTTTAAGTTATTTTTATTTTATACCCATCACTTACTTTGTTTATAGTATTTATTAAATATTTATAAATGATGATGTAATAATTTAAAACTTATATAATGGGATCACTTGTCTTCACTCATATCTTCCGCATATTTGGGCGGATGAAAATTTGGGAAGGATTCATCTTTCCTATTATCCTTTATTTTCTTATATCTTCTCTTACCAAATGAAGGAAATTTGTTCTTTCCTTCCTATTTTTCTTCCACTCCTAAGACCCTTCCTACCGAACATAGCATAAAAGAACAGTACAAGAGAAGAGCCTTAACCGAGATAACAGACAGAAAGCCCAGAAGCCCAAGAGCACCAGGCCCAAGGGACCAACACGACAACAAATAACCAACACTTTTGTCTTTGGATCAACCCATTTGATTTTTAAAATTGACAATCAAACCATTTATGGTTTATGAACATGACTAGCTACTTTTATGAACTCTTGCATGTTTTTCTTCATCACCATTCTTATCTTTTACCCGTTTTATCCTACAGGAGGTCGGCCGTTCAGATTCTTCATCAACCCATCAAATAAGATATCCATTAATCTCCTGAATAGTCGCAACCTCTCTAGCTTGTTAAATTTTTCATCCTTGCTCACCATACTAACCTTAACATGCTTTGAATCAACCCCAAATCGCTTTCCGCCAACTTCTATCTATGTAGCTGTCCATTTGATCGGCATGTTTGATGTATATACTTATCGCACTAAATTATTTTATAATCTTTAATAATTTTGGCCTCATATTAGAGGAGTGTTACGTTGCTCTCTTGATTGTCCCCATACTTTGTATTTTTTAGGAAATGAATTTATTCCTTGGCAAAGAGAATCTCCATGATGAACATATCCATAATTAACAATATGTAAAGAAATACTGCCACGGAGGTCGATTTTGAATATAAATCTCCTAACTAAATAAAAATAACTTTTCTTTGTTTAAGTTTTACAAGAACGTAAGAAATGAACACCCATGAATTTACCGAATAAGGTTTCAAAACTTTACTATTATTCACAACAATACAAGAAAAAGGCATCTACCCGTAGAAACATACAACAAAGAAGAAAAACATACAACAAAGCAGAAATAATACAAGAGTCTCCCAATGCAGAAATACTTTTTTGATCCATGAGATGAAAAAAAGTACTCCCGGCAAGAGTAAATCAAACAACTTGAAAATCAAAGAAATCTCAATAATACAAAACAAGCTAAACTCATTTAAAAATCTTTGAAAGCAGAAGATTTGGTTACTGGCAAGAAGATATGTTCAGCCAGATCGAGATAATTGGATCGATTCTTGGAAAAGGACCAGGTTACAGCACCTTACTTCCTTATATTGTTGATGTGGATTATGATGAAGGGCTTCTGTTATGGCACATTGCAACTGAACTCTGCTGCTACAATGACGACCATATTGCTGAAGGAATTGTCGGTAGCAATAATACTGGTGCTGGTAACAATACTGGCGAAGGCAAAGAAGTATCGTGGTTTTTCCAAGCTTATGTCAGATTACAAGTTAAATCTTCTAGTTATGCAGTGGCAGGTATTGAGAAATCAAGATTCCGGGATACCTGTGCTGAGACTAGGAAGCTCTTTAAGAGAACTACTAAATTAGAATAGGAACACAGGGTCGAGATAAGGAACATAGTTAAACCGGCTGTTGTCAAGGGAGATGGTAGCAAATCTGTGTTATTTGATGCATGCATTTTGGAGGCTTTCAAGCATAAATATGGTCATACAGTACACCAAACCCAATGGGACCGAACCTAATGTCACCGAGTCAAGCTGCAGACCACCCTTAGTATATTTAAATTATTAAGATGGTATATTTCAATTTGAAATTTATAGTATATTTAACTTCTTATCATGTAGATATGAACCACATATTAACATACATGATACACCATCTAGGCATCAAGGAAGCAGCAACATAAACTGGACTCATTATCCTATGTTTCTATATTTCTATAACTAACCTAAATGTTGCATGACTAGGTAAAATTCTACATCATCATCAACTCCTGAATAGCCACCAACCTCTCTATAAAGAGGTTTAATTCTTCTTCCTTGCTCACGTACCATACTAACCCTAGCATGTTTCGAATCAGTCCCAAATCGCTTTCGCTTCTTGTTAGAATCTGGTACCCTCGGAGAAACTCTGTGCAGTCCTCTATATTCCGATTGCACTTCATCCATGCAAAGGCTGCAAGAAGAAACAGAAAAACCGAAATATTAATTAAATTATATGATATTTTGCACCAACCATCATATTATCTAAATTTTTTACTATATGGTTAATTAATAACACTACATAAAATCTCTATATTCTGTGTAGTGTACTTTGTTTTGTACATTGCTGTTGTTCGTCACAACAGGTGTAAATGTTTCTTGATAGGCAAATGTTTAAAAATTGATCAAAATTTAGAGAATTACCCAATGCGTGATCCGGCATGTCCAGTTCACTTGGAGACCGTAAACAGCATAATATCATGAGCAGCTGCACTGGTAATGGGAGTAAATTGTGGCCAGTAGTAGGCAAGGTCATGGACAACCTTCCCTTCATCTCCTTCTCTCTTGACAATGGCTTGTCTATTAGCTCCCCACTTGTACAGCCCTGACCGCAAGAAGTCTGTC